GTTTTAGCACTACCAATATTTTGGTAGGGTAGAATTGTAAATGGGTGTCTTTAGATTTATGCCAATTGAGAGCCAATTTTAAATTGTTTTGAAGAATATTCTAGAATTGTGACAAACTGAGTATAGGCATTACCAAATATTTGGCTTCAAACCAAATCATCACATTTACTATTTAAACTAAAAAAATTAGTATGGCAATATTTTGATATCAAACCAAAACGCCCCTTTATCTCCGAACCCCTTGGCCTCGATCGTATGGGCGAGTTGTAATCCTGTAGACCGCTGGATCGGTACGTTTCACGTATGCATTCTGCGTGGCTCGCCTGGTTCCGTGCAAGGCTTCGATCCGATGACCAGATCCAGATGTGATCCATGGGGACTCCATCTCCCGGGGGGGGGGGTTCGGAGATGAATGGGGGAGATGAATGGCATGTTCATATTGTAGTCAAAATAAATCTTACCAAATTTTGGCAATGCTAAAATTTTGGCAAGATGGTAATATTGCTAAAATTTTAGCAAGATTTCTTATGTATTTACCAAATTTGGTAACAAATTAAACGTAGATATTTTTTTACAACTTTATAAAAAAAATAGTATGGCTGAAAATGACATCAAAATGAATAGACCCGAAAACTCCGACTTGTGCCCTCTCTCGATGTACGTAATTAATAAACCAGGCCAACTCCAACCGCCTTTCTCTAGATCGAAAATTAACAATAGAAATTCTGGCTTTCGTGGATTGAAGATTAAGTAACTGTTTAGATTGTAGCTAAAATAAACCTTACAAATTTTGGCAGGATTTCTTATATATTTATCAAAGTTTGACAACAAACTAAACGTAGATATATTTTTAACAATTATGTCAAAAATAATATGGTTAAAAATGACATCAACCTGAACAGCCCCTAAACCACCGTACCCTCGTTTGTAAAAATAACTAAAATAACTAAAAACTAGCTCGATGGAGACTCGGCTCTGTGAATGGTAGTAGTCGCAACGTAGCATTCAGCCGGGCCTATCGGCCTTAAAGCCCGTCCGTTTCTGCTCGTGGTGCTCTAAACGAGCTAAGCCCATGGGCTTTAATTTCGTGATTTACCGGAAACTGCAATTAGAGATCGATCCAGCTTGCCATGGCTCCGTGTGTGTCTCTGTCCCAATTCCACACGTTTCTCTCGTGCGGTTGCCACTTGCCATTGGTTCGTTTCTTCAGGAGTCCCTGTCGGCCACATATCACATACGAGTGCTAAGTAATTAAGTTGACGCGTTTATCCCGTGTAAAAACCGGCACGACACGTTTTCCTTGCGTAGAAATGAATGCCACGCACATATATATTCATAGCTTATCAAACATCGCTACCAAATCATGCACAGTTATGCTAATCCATAGCTTATCAAACATCGCTACCAAATGCGCAAAAAATGCCAAATCGTATCTGCAAGCCGCAAACACACGTCCATCCCGTCCAGAGACAATGGACAAATGCACGACGCAGCTGCCTCGCGAGCTCTTCTGAACTCTGAAGCACACCGTACATACGATACGATCGAACGTCGCGTTTGCAGGGATTCGTATTGCCGTACCCATACGTGTTAGGTATTTGCGGCAGTTCGGCTGGTTTGATATCTCGTACTCGTAGTGTCACGAATGGGCTATACACACCGAGTACTCGCATGGCCGGGCACGTCGATTCCACGGTCTTTTTTTTTTTTTTTGCACATTCGCCGCTCGTGTCAGTCGTGTGTGAGCACGGCTGACTGGTGAAGGAGTGGCCATCCGATACGCTCGCTGGTTAAGGAGTGGCGTGGGGTGAAGCCGTCAAGTGGTGATTCCGCGCGCGGTAGGTGCGACCGTGCGAGGTGTCAATCCGACCATCCGATGCGATCCATGGAGTTCGGGGAACAATACTCCGGAGTCCGAACCCCCTCGCCTCCCTACAAAAAATTCTGGCCTCTCCTTTTGCCCTCGCTTGAAAAAAGTGACAAACGAAATTCCGCTCCCGAGGATCCGAGATTAAAACTCACATCCCATTGCATCCCTTACCAAAATACTCCTAATTACAATTTACAAAAGAGAACTTCGGCCACACATACCGGGGGTCGGAGTTTTTTAATCTCGGTATGCAAACGATTAGCGGAGCGGGGAGAGATTGAAATCATCTCGTGTTGGAGTACGGTATTTTGGCAGTTCGGCCGCTTGATATGATGATATCTCGCGCTGTCACGAGCGTGTGCGTGTCATACGCCTGGCCATCGCGTGGCCGGGCGCATCGATTGAACGGTGTTTTCTGCACGTTCGCCGCTCGCGCAGCGTGCGCTCGTGTCAGCCGTGTGCCGCGCGGCCGTCCTGCAGCGAATCCTGACCAAATGGAGTATTTGCTTGCAGTACGTAAATATGATGAATCAAAGCTTGCACATTCGCTGGCCAAAAGCGAATCCTAAACATGCACGTTTTGCACACACTTTGAGTGAATGTGCGGTCTGCGGCTTCTCTGTGCGTGTGAGTATTGATCGCCAGTCGATCATAAACTTGCAGTCGTAGTAGCAGGCCAGATTCTATTTTAACTACACCGAGAGTGCTAGTTGGATAGTGCTAAGGAGTGACACCCTCCTTTCCAAAAAAAAAAAAGCTAGTACACTCAATATCTATGTATTTTTTTTCTTCTTAGAGAAGTTTCTCTTAAATTACTTATCCGATTTATAATCCGATTACGTCGTTGTGTTCGTTGCAATTAAATATTTACAATAATATCTCACATGATTATATTTTGATGAAAAATCACAAATTACTTTTATGATATGTTTAAATTACTTTTAGATTTCATTAAGTTACTTCTTAAACTATAAAAGTAAATTCAGTAAGTCTAAAAGTAATTTACATATATTATAGAAGTAACTTAGAACAAAATGAAGGTAACTTTGGCATGTCATTTGAAGTAAATCTGTTGTAGAGATAAAAACATGACTCTATCTATAAATTAAATTAATCAGCACAAATTATGGAATTAACTAAAAAGTCATATTTTATCCCCTACAACGAATTTACTTCTAATGTCGTGACAAAGTTACTTCTGTTTTATTTTAAGTTACTTTTAGAATATATGTAAATTACTTTTAGACTTTATTGAATTTACTTTTATATGTCTAAGAAGTAATTTAGTCAAATCTAAAAATAACTTATATATATGATAAAAGTAACTTATGTATATAATAAAAGTAATTTATAAATATAAATATTTTTTCAACGTAACATAATCATGTAAGATCTTGTTTGTGAAGATTTAATTGTAACGAACACAATGGTGTAATCGGATTGTAGATCGGATAAGTAATTTGAGAGGAAACTTTATTTGAATAGGAAAAAGATACCCACGAGAACTTTATTTGAAAAGAAAAAGACACCCACATGGGTGGACATCATGACGACGTGCACAGTTAGACGGCTATGAGATGCGTCACGCTATAGAGCTAAACCGAGAGCGCTCTCGAAATAGATTTCACGTTTTATTTTCTTCCTTTTTGAAACCCCGTAGCCGGCTTCTGGTTCTACCAGGTAGTTGGTATATATCACTGTGACCCAAGCAACGAGAAAATCGAAAATCTACCTGCGCCAGTGCACGACATGGTTAGCGACTTGTCTCTGAGCGTAGAATCCTCTCTAGAAGGAGGATTGGTGCATCCGTTGGTAATTCCGGCGCAAGACATCGATTCAATCATCTTATCTTTCCTGGTGGTTCGGAAACCGGAGTTTTAATCTCCGAATCCCCTTGCCCTCGATTGAGGCTCGGCCGAAAAGCCTCGGCGACTCGGCTAGGCGAGCTGTAGACCGATGGACGGTATGTTTTGCACCGTTACGTAGGCGCCTGGTTTCGCGCGAGATTTCGATCCGATCACCAGATGCGATCGATAGGGACTCGATCTCCAGGGAGGTCGGAGATGAAAACTCTGACCGTTGCACTCGATCGCTTTGCAGTACGTAAATATGACTATACGATCGATGAATATCGGAGATCAAAACTCCAACCGCCTTACTCTCCATTGAAATAAATAAATAAATAAAGATATCCCGGCTTTCGGGGATCTGAGATTAACTCAGATCACCTTTACCCTCGTTTGAGAAAAATAACAAATAACAGAATTAAATGCATCCTCTCGATGGGCCGGGGACTCGGCGAAGTGAGCTGTAGACGACGATGTTCAATCGCGTTGCAACGTACTCGCTCCATGCTCGTAAAGGAAGTCGTTTACAATAGCGACACCGTTTTTAAAACACAACTTTGACTTCTTGTTTCTATAAAAATATTTATTGAAAAGTGATATATGTATACTTTTATGAAAGAATTTTTCAAGACAAATCTATACATATAATTTTTATATTTTTAAACTTTATAATTTATATTCCTAATGTTTGACTTAAACATTGTCCTAAACGTACTGCCGGATATCAACCCAGCTTGCCATAGGCTCTGACTCTCTGTTCCAATTCCCACACGTTTCTCTCGCGCGGTTGCCACTTGCGATCGCTTCGTTGTGCGACGAGTCCCTATCGGCTCCATATCACGTAATTAAACCGACGCGTTTATATATCTTTTGCAACAACTGGCACGACGCGTTTACCTCGGATAGAAAAGGATATGACACGCATAGTTTATCAAACATCGTTACAAATCATGCAGAAAAAAGAAAGAAAATGTCAAAATCGTATCGGCAAACGTCCATCCCGTCCGGAAACTCTGGATAATGGACAGACCGGCACGACTCGGCGGCCTCGCGACGTCAACCCCGTACACATGGAGGATCGGCGTACGTGGTGAATTGGCGCCGAGACGGCGACCAATCGATCGGGTAAACGTCTAAACCGCTCGGGATAGCAGGACACGTGTGTATAGCTGCTGCGCCTGCCTCCGCAATAACGGCGCGGATGAGAGGGGGGAACCGGTCAGTCCCCTGATCCCATCCATCCATCCACACCCGCGATGCGGCCGCTATTTATACGCCCCTCTCATGCAACGCACCGTTCGAATGGTCTGGATTCGCCTCGTCGCGTGATCGCCATCGTCTCTGTAGACAGAATAAAAAAAAATCAAGAGGGGGAGGAAGCCGAGGGAGGTTTTCGCTGAGATGGAGATGGGTAGGGACGTGGATGCAGGGCAGCAGCAGAGGCGGCTGGTGGTGGTGCACAGCCAGGTGAGGCGGATCAAGCAGGAGGAGGGGGAGAAGGTGAAGGTGGACGAGACGTACCAGCACCAGGTGTCGGAGATGCGGCGGATGGTGGTGCTCCGGGACATGGAGGCGAGGCAGCGCTCCCGCTCGCCGCTCGGGAGGGCCGCCCGCCCGGCGATCTCCATCGGCGGCGACTCGTGAGGCGTACGTACGTGCGCCACCCCATTGCCGGATTGGATGGAGACGTACGGGCGCCGCCGCGATCTCCTTGAGTTTTCTTCTCTCGTCATGGTTAGACCCGACTGATTGAGCAGCCGAACATGAGCAGATGTTTTTTTAGGATCATTCTTTGGCTGTACTGCGTACATTAATCTTTTTATTTTATTGTCGTCGTCGTTGTCGTTGAGACAAGGAAATTTCAGTTCTTAGGATTAATGGAAAGTTATATCTTGGTTCTGTAAATACTAAAGTTATGTAGCCTAGCTATTTTGAATTGTGCATCTGTGATGCATTCATTCTTGATGATCTTCCTCTCTCCGATGAACCGGTTTGTCTAAAGAAAACATACTTTTACAGTGAAAAACATATAATTTAGATTTTAGAGCACATGCAACTGGCAACGAATACTTGATTATAATTTGCGATCAATTCAATCTGATTGTTAACCATCCGTGCCATATTGGACTCTGGCATCTGGACAATGAAGAAAACAGGACAAAATTTGGGGCTTTATTGTCATCTCCAGAATCAGTACAATAGGGTAATTGATTGTCCGAGAAAGCAATTCCAAAACGTGAAAAATCCTACACGGTGGATTTGTCTAGAGCTAGCATCTTGATTCTGCGACTAAGATTCTGTATCACATCCAGGAGAAGCAGCTTCTTCTGCAATCTAAACTGCACGGCTAGTTCAGTAGTAAGAGGTGGTTCTCCTTTTAGTATGGCCTCGTCTTCCATTATCTTCGTGTGGAAGTGTTGTAGAGCAAAGGTGCAAAGTGCAAGGACAGTTCGGAGTGCTGAAGCTTCAACAGCTGGGCCTAATGGAGCTTTCTCCTTAAGAGACATCAAAGTCTTGAGGTCATGGCCACTCACAGCGTCCGGATCAGCTGCAATAATAACCCTTAAAGCAGCCAATAAGCGCCCATCTACTATTTCTGGACCTCCTATGCTGACCTGAAAAGAAATTACAAGTGATACCCACAGAAAACCAAGAAGGTTCAGATTGCTGCATGGATACTGGACGACTTGAATTCAACAATAGATTGCAAAAAATAAATAGGATCAGTAAGAATGTGTGCAAAACCTTTAGAATAGCACCCTCTCCATACAGATTTAGCTGTGACAAGATATCCTGTTGCCACTTGGCTGGAGCTGAAAAGTTAGGCGAAGAAACTCCTGCTGCCATGCTAGCAGCATCTAGGAGAGTTCCATCATAGCTCAGTTCCACTTGATCATACGAATTTGATGTTATTACAAATCCATAATCAAGAAGGAAGAAATCATTAGGGTAGCAACCATAGTTCAGTGTTACCGCAGCATTTTGATCAATTTTTGTCTCAGCAACAACCTATAAGCAAGGTCAAGGTGGTCAGAGTTACTTGCATCTATGGTAAGATAACATAAAAGGCTACATTTATCCATGAATTCAGTTAAATAAATGCATTCACATGTCACTTATGCTGTTATGCATAAACAAAGCTACTAACAGAGGGCATTCAATTAACAAAAATTGTCTTAAGGAAATACAAAATTTCTTGGGCTCAGAAGTACACAAACAATTCAGGATACTTGCCTTAACTGACATATCAGGGCTATCCACATTTCCTTCCTGGACAATCCTAGCATTTGGGTTAAAACTATGGTTACACATATCAATAAGAGGCAACAGCATTGGGATTTCACCATGCAAACGGAATGCCCGAGTAGATGCTGCTGACATAGCCCATCCAAGGGAAGATGAGTTTACATCTTGTCCACAAAAAGGATGATCTTCCAAGGGCACTGTACCAAGCTTATGTTTCACTTCTTTTTCAAACTCGAGAAGGAAGCGACACCTTTTATTCACCTGAAATATAATAAGTCAAAAAAGAAGAGGGGAAATGCAATAAGAACTACAATAATTTATAACAACCTGGTGGAGAAGAGGGGCATACTGCAAGTTTTTTATGTCTTCCCCTGGAAAAAATATCGGTACAGTAAAAGTCTCTGGCAGATTTGCGATATATGGCCACCAGAAAGAATCAGATTTTGCCCTTTCTTGAAGCAGCCTCAAGCCCAGTCGCATAGCCCATAGTTCCTCTGTCACATGCTTCCCGCAGGATTGAATTTGTTAGTCACTGAAGGGTACTTAGCCTAATTTTCTAGAATGTAAAGTCCCTCATACACTAAAAGAGGGCAGGATCATAGAGTGCACATGTAGAATAGTTCCATCGTGCAGCAATTATGTCAAAATACAACATTAGCTACACAAAGGATTAGGTTGTGTAGCGTAAATTATAGGAAAACCTGACTCAATCTTACTCAATTTAACACGAGAAAACAGCATTCGCCATTAGACATTAGGTGTTCAGGACAACCGCATTTCTCAAAATTGTAAAACCCAACTGCTACTGAACTCTAATATATTGGCGTGCAAAGCTTTTGCGCGCTGGCGAAAAAATTGCTACTGAACTAAAACGCAATACTAGGAGGATGTCAGTTCAATTGATCCGACGTCAACAGCAGAATCAATACCAATTATGCTCCTGATTCTTATATAGAAATAGATCTTACTTTTGATGCATTAGCAACTCTTCACAAACATGAATCTACCACACTGGTTTCCACAACGTGACTAACAGAGGTAATTGAAAATCTGAGCCAGGACTAGGAGAGCCATTACCAGGTACTTGGTCCGCTAGCTGCACGAGGACCGCGTCCGCAGCGCCGGCGGGGCGGCGGAGTCGTAGAGGGAGGCGGCCGGGTAGCGCGATGAGGACGTCGCCAGGGGGAATGTCTCCCTCGGCCGCGGCGGCGGAGACCCCGAGGCCGTGCTCAGGATGGTCGACCACGCGGAGGGCGGGGTGCACGAACCCTCCCTCCCGCTGCACCCATCGGAGCAGGTCCGGCGGCTGAGGCGCGATGCGCGGGGCGGCGGAGGCAGCGGCCGCGGAGCAGGAGAGGCTGCGCCGGCTGCGCGCGAGCGAGGAGGAGAGGAGGGTGGCGGTTGTTGTGAGCAGGGCCTTCCTCGCCGTCGCCGGCGTCGCCCCCGCGGCGGCGGCGGCGGCCATGGGGTTCGGCGGTGGAGGCGCGCGAAGAGCAGAGCAGTGGGGTTGGTTGGGGGTGGAGATGGCTTGAAGCCTGGAAGAGACGACGGGCTCTCGGATAAAGTGAGGTTTGGGCCGGGTTTGGCTGGCCCTGACCTATTCAAGGCATGTTTTTACTGGAAATCTTCGGCCGTCCAACTCGAGATCAAGCGTTCAGGTGTGCCAATTAGGCCACGCACAGAACAGAAGCACGTATTTCTCCAATCAAAAATTTTCGTTGTAAAATTGTGCCACACCTCAATTTCTTTGTCGGGGTATTTACTATGTTTTGGTTTATACCATAAAAGAAATCAGTTCTTCTTTTTCTCGACTTATATAATTTCTTAATTTCTTCGTTTAAAAGAAGCATGTATGTCTATACTCCTTCGAGAGTTCTACAATTTCTTAAAAGAAGCATGTGTATCTATACTCCTTTAGAAGAAGGAATAATGTAGTGATGGTGATAGTGAATCTGCTGCCCCAGTTACTGTATTAGAAATTTTACAGTTACCCCATCAAATCTAAATAGATAGCCATATACAACAATTTCTAACGTGGACCGGTCGAAGGAGAGGAAAAAGGACAAAGGGATGGGTAGAAGACTTGTCGGGCGGAGCTGCGGCGGCACAGGGGATAGGTAGAAGGCTGGTCAGGCGGAGCTGCGGCGGCACGTTGATGCCTTTTGGCTCCGACAAGCCAGGTGGTGGCAACGAAGAAGGCGAGGAATCAAAGCTGATTTGGATTTGGACCTCGCGCAAAAGGGAGAGCAGAGGGAGTTCACCAAAGAGAGGCCATTGTCGATGCCATCGCCATACGTCCTGATCCTACTCTACCGCCAAAGCCGAAAGGTCACTCTTGGCATATTTCATAATCAACATAAGAAGAAGACTTTCTTTATTGGCACAATGGGAAGACTAAAAGGTAGCGAGAGAGTAGGAGATTTGGGGCTAATAGGTTGCTAGGTTGTTGGGACCCATTCACAGGCTCACAGCCCGCAAACGCTAGCCAATTAGCCCCACCCGTTTTGTTTGGACCCGCTGAAGACCACCTTTAATACTCTGGTTGGTGCTAAATTAATATAGGGACTAACTATGACGGAGCGTGGGGCTCCTCACCGGGAGACCGCGCTGGCCCCCCTTTGCCGGTTCGGCCGGGGACCCTGGGTGAGACTCTAAGCTCCCAATCTGTGTGTGGAAGGTTCGCGAGATAGGAAGCACAGAAGACGCCGGCGATGTATACAGGTTCGGGCCGCTTAGAAGCGTAATACCCTACTCCCGTGTTTTGGTGGATTCGTGTGTGAAGGAGCTACAAAGTATGAGCCAGCCTCTCCCTTGTTCTGGGTTCCTAATCTGGAAAAGTCCAGTCCAAGAAAAAACTCCCCCTCTCTCAGTGGGCAAGGTCCTCCTTTTATATCTTAAGGGGATACCACATGCACCATCCCCCCCTCTCTGTGGGGACTTACCCTACCTTTTCATAAATGGACGGAGATTTGCATGGTTGCCGTTCGAGTCACCTTCTGATGGGACGGCCCGCACCTACCTCCACTTTCGCCGGGAACAGGCGCGACGCGGAATCATGGCTGTCTGCTGACGACATGACCGGTGTCAGACTGGTCACAAATCGGTCATTCTTGTCCACCACGCGTCAGCTTAGCAATCTGCACGTTGGCCCTTCTTCACACAACATTTTGCCTGTAATGGTTAGGATGAAGCCTGGCATATATCTGACCAGGACTAACGTGCCATCTCTGGGAGGTAACACGCTAGCTCCAGCTGGGGACGAGTGCCTAGAAGCCCTCGTCCTGACGGGATGGGGCGAGGCGTGCGTCAGATCGCCTGTCGCCACCTAACCCGCGATCTGACCGGTCTGTGACTGGTCACAGACCGGATAAATGAGTGCACTGCACCGCGTTACATGCGGCGTGACACGCTCAGCCAAACCGCAATAAATGTGGTTAGGTGAGCCCCACTGTGCCCACCTAACCCATACACGCGGAGCGAAAACCCACGAGGGGTCGGGGCGCCTCGGCCCTCGGGGCCGAGGCGGGAGCGGTCCGACCCCCTCGGGGAGACAAAGAAGAGGGCGAACACATCACCCTCGGGCCCGACGCCCCCCGAGGGTGCCAGGCCACGTGGGCGATTGTGTCTGTCTCAAGCCTCTATTCATGATACTCCCGGTCCCATGTCACCGACAGTAGCCCCCGGCGTTATGCCAGGGCGATCGCCCTCCCCGAGGGAAGCGGTCGGGCGTGACGCCACTTCTAAGGCCTGGTGACAGGTGGGGCCGGTTCCTACAGGTGCCGTCGAACTACATCACCCAGAGGGCGGTGTGAGGCAGCTGCGATGGGCTCGAGCTGGCCTCGGGGGCGGAGACGAGCTCGGGAGCTGGGGTCCACTCCGCCACAAAGTCGGCGAGGGCCTGGCTCTTGATCGCGTGGCTTGGTTCAAAGCGCAAATCGAATTCAGAGAGTTCGATTGCCCATTTCACCACCCGTCCAGTACCCTCTCGGTTATACAAGATTTGGCCGAGGGGATAAGACGTAACCACCGTGACCCGATGCGCCTGGAAATAATGGCGTAACTTCCTCGAAGTTATCAGGATAGCGTAAAGCATCTTCTGGGCCTGAAGGTATCGGGTCTCAGCGTCCCGGAGGGCCTCGCTAACGAAGTAGACGGGCCGCTGCACCTTTCGGCGGGGCCGATCTTCTTCGTCAGGGGCCACATCTCCAGGGCGCTCTCCATCCGAGAGGCCACGCGGGGCGCACTCGGCTTCTGTGCCGACGACCTCGGGGTCAGAGGGCGACAGGCGCGGCCTTCCCGCAGTGGCCTCGGGGCCATCCTGGGGGTCGGGGGCACCTGGCACCGTCTGACAAGCGGGCAGAGGGCCTGCTCCGGTCGTCGGGGGCCTTGGGCCACCGTTCGGCTCGGGGGCCTCTCCTCCCTGCTCTCTCTCTCTCTTCGGGCAGAATCCCGGCGGTCGCAAATCGCGCGCATCAGCAAGGGAAAACCGACCGACAATAATGAGCGGCCCCTCGGCTCGCGTTTGCCTTCAACTCCGACGAGGAGTGCGGTGACGACGGTGCGGACAACAGCGACGGCGAGGCCGGCTACCCGGGCGCGTCGGAGTGAGCCCCCAGGCCTCCGCCAATCTTAATAGCTTTTCCTTCTTCTTCCGAGGCCTTCGGGCCCCCTTCTTGTTATAGGCTGATTTAATCTGCGATCAAATAAAGAGGAAATTTTTGTGTCAATTTCATTTGTTCTGTGTATGAGACGAGGATGGTCTGTGCCACGGTCCTTCTGTGTCTTGGCTTGAACAAGGGCTCGTGCCCAGGTCCCAGCCTCAAACGGCGCGGGTCAAGGCTAGTGCCTGGGGAGATCCACATGTCGAGACTGGCCAGGCCGGGAGCGTGGTGACCGAGGGTTATGGGTGACCCGATTGTGGGTTTTTGCCGATTCCCCCCCGGAGTTCACCACGTCCCGGGGCACGGCTCGGTTCTGGGCCCCTTTTGGCGATTTTAGCCGACCCGAGCCCCCGAGGGTAGGATTGAGCACGAGTGACCTATTTCAAGTCAAGATTCTTCAAAAGGAAACAAAAGCACAGACACAGCCTTTAGGAAATCGAAAATGCTTTTATTGAAATACGGAAGAGAAAAAAGATAAGCCCCCGGCCAACCCTGCACGCCGGGGGGGTGCGGAGTTGGCCCGAGCCCAAGACCTGACACCCAACCCCCACTAGGGGTAGAAGCGACGAAGGTGTTCGATGTTCCACGGGTTAGGCAGCTCTGTGCCGTCGCCCGTGGCCAGCCGAACGGAGCCCGGCCGGGGGACGCCGATCACTCGATACGGACCCGCCCACATTGGTGAGAGTTTGCTCAGTCCAGCACGCGTTTGGACACGGCGTAGGACGAGGTCGTCGACGCAGAGTGATCGGGCCCGGACGTGGCGCTGATGGTAGCGCCGCAGGCTCTGCTGGTAGCGCGCGGCTCGAAGGGCCGCGCGCCGCCTTCGCTCTTCCAAGTAGCCGAGGTCAGGGAGCGTCGGCTTCCTTCTTTTTGTCGCTCGCAGGCCTCCCCTTTCGGGTGGCCCGCGGAGCGCCCTCGACGGCGAGGACATGACCCTCGTCGTCGGTATGGGCTGACCTCTTCTTCCTCCTCCTGTCACGCCGCCCTGTCTGAGCGGCGGATCCGGGGGCGGCCGAAGCTGCCACACCGGAACCGGAGGGGTTCCAGGTCCATGCCTCCTCCTTGCGAGCCACTCGGTCCGCGAGCTGAAAAAGCTCCGCGGTAGTCTGGGGCTCCTTAGAGGCGATCTTTTTGAGCATGCGGTTGTGCCGCACGCCTCCCCTGAACGCGTAGATTACCGCGTGTGCAGGGATGCATGGTATGGTGTTGCGGACTTGACAGAACCGCTGAATATACGAGCGAAGTGACTCATCATCCCTTCGCTGTACTGCGTGTAAGTCCGCTTCTTCACCTGGGCGCGGATATGTGCCCTGAAAGTTCATGGTGAACTGTTGGCACAAATCCTCCCAGGAGTGGACTGACGCGGGTGGCAAGTTCATTAGCCAACCCCGCGCCTGCCCCTTCAGGGCCATGGGAAAGAAATTCGCCATGACCCTGTCGTCACCCCCGGCGGCCTCAATCCCGGTCGTGAAGACCTGGAGAAACTCGGCGGGGTTGACGCTGCCATCATATTTTTCGGCGATGGTGGGCCGGAACCTTGGGGGCCAACGGACATTCCGAAGACTCGCCACAAAGGCTCTACAGCCGACACCACCAACCGGGGGCACGGAGGGCTGATTCCCGCGTCTGTGCTGAGGTGACACTCTGGACGAGGAAGCGCCCTCCGTTGCGTGGGTAGCACGTCGGTCATTACGCCGCCGCTCGATGCTGGTGCGGGCGTCCGGCCTCCCTCGCAGATCTTTCCGGGCCGAAGGAGTCGACGAAGGAGTGGTGGCCGAATGGCGAACGGCGGCTGCCGCTCGCCGCGCCCTTCGTCTTGACGACGCGGAGCCGGTGGTAGCAGCACCAGAGGCCTTGGTGGCGGAGGACCGCCCACCAGCATCTATACACTGCCGTGCAGTCATGACCAATTTGGCCACATCGTCCAGCCAGCGTTGGGCTGGAGACTCCGGGTCATGGGCGACGGGCGGGTGACGTAGGAGCGCGCCCGCAGCTTGGAGCGCGCCCTGGGGCGTGCTGCCGTCACCATAGACGAGGAGGCGATGCTCCCCATCTCGCCGCCCCTTTCCACCTCCTGTGGATGTCGAAGTCGCGGATCCTTCGGCCCTCTCGAGCGCCTCCCCCTGCTTAGGACTTTGGCGTGGAGGGGGCGGTGGAGTACGAGCTCGACGGCGTGGGTTCGGCTCCCCGTCGTCGCCACTCACACTCGGAGAGAGGTTGTGCGCCTTTGCTTGCTCAGCCATGAGGCTGAACAGGAAAAGCTTGGCGCACACGAAAGAGTGCAAGAGCTCAGAAGATCACTCGCAGAGTCCCCTACCTGGCGCGCCAGATGTCGGAGCGTGGGGCTCCTCACCGGGAGACCGCGCTGGCCCCCCTTTGCCGGTTCGGCCGGGGACCCTGGGTGAGACTCTAAGCTCCCAATCTGTGTGTGGAAGGTTCGCGAGATAGGAAGCACAGAAGACGCCGGCGATGTATACAGGTTCGGGCCGCTTAGAAGCGTAATACCCTACTCCCGTGTTTTGGTGGATTCGTGTGTGAAGGAGCTACAAAGTATGAGCCAGCCTCTCCCTTGTTCTGGGTTCCTAATCTGGAAAAGTCCAGTCCAAGAAAAAACTCCCCCTCTCTCAGTGGGCAAGGTCCTCCTTTTATATCTTAAGGGGATACCACATGCACCATCCCCCCCTCTCTGTGGGGACTTACCCTACCTTTTCATAAATGGACGGAGATTTGCATGGTTGCCGTTCGAGTCACCTTCTGATGGGACGGCCCGCACCTACCTCCACTTTCGCCGGGAACAGGCGCGACGCGGAATCATGGCTGTCTGCTGACGACATGACCGGTGTCAGACTGGTCACAAATCGGTCATTCTTGTCCACCACGCGTCAGCTTAGCAATCTGCACGTTGGCCCTTCTTCACACAACATTTTGCCTGTAATGGTTAGGATGAAGCCTGGCATATATCTGACCAGGACTAACGTGCCATCTCTGGGAGGTAACACGCTAGCTCCAGCTGGGGACGAGTGCCTAGAAGCCCTCGTCCTGACGGGATGGGGCGAGGCGTGCGTCAGATCGCCTGTCGCCACCTAACCCGCGATCTGACCGGTCTGTGACTGGTCACAGACCGGATAAATGAGTGCACTGCACCGCGTTACATGCGGCGTGACACGCTCAGCCAAACCGCAATAAATGTGGTTAGGTGAGCCCCACTGTGCCCACCTAACCCATACACGCGGAGCGAAAACCCACGAGGGGTCGGGGCGCCTCGGCCCTCGGGGCCGAGGCGGGAGCGGTCCGACCCCCTTGGGGAGACAAAGAAGAGGGCGAACACATCACCCTCGGGCCCGACGCCCCCCGAGGGTGCCAGGCCACGTGGGCGATTGTGTCTGTCTCAAGCCTCTATTCATGATACTCCCGGTCCCATGTCACCGACAAACTATATACTCCCTCCGTCCCATAATATAAGAGATGAGATTTTTAGTTGATGTGTCATGTGACATATCCTATCTAGATTTATATTAATATGAGTGTCATATACACCCTAAATCTCTTATATTATGAAACGGAGGGAGTAGATTACATGATAAATTTGTTCACCTAAATACATAGTGCCCTGGTTTAATTAAAAAGCGTACCCGCGACTTATACATAGCACGGATCTCAATGCACATTGTACGGTTAAAACATGTAGTACAAATCTGGGAAACAAACGACACCATCTAGCTTCTTGTTCAGATTACGAGGATCTGTAGTTGTATAATCTAAAAATAAATTAGAAGCCATAAACAAATTTTTAAAAGCTAGCTACCAATCAACTGTTTCTCAAAATTTCAAGCTCTCCAAACATACCCATAATATAGAGATTTGATAATTTAACACTCCTTAAAATGGATTTTTATTATTTGACATCATGGCCCACTTACATTCGCTTATATGGTCACACATGTCATTCTCACAAGTGTCCATTAGAGCAATTGAACAACGAAAAAAGTGTTAAATTATCAATTTTTTTCACATAATCTGGTTGTGACGTCATGACGTGGTTAACCCAAAAAAATCGTGTGATTTTGAGGATAAAATCTGTTAAACAAATTTATAGGAAAACCGTTAAAGAGCACCTAAACCCTGAAGCCAATGGCCGATCGGCCAAGAGCCCCCAAAACCCCCACGCACTGATCATTACGGAAACGCGCGGCGCACGATCCGTCTCGCCATGGGTCTCGTCCTCTCCTGCGGTTGCCTCTGCCGCAGCCGTAGCCGTAGCCGTAGCCTGTCGCCGCCACCGCCCTCGGATAGGCTGGATGTTCATCCATCGTTCTGGAAATGGGAGACCGAGCCGGAGCGCGGCCGCGTCTTCCGCTGCTTCGACACCGACGGCGACGGACGACACCTCTCGGCCGCGGAGATAAGGGAATTCTACGGGTGCGGGAAGGCCAAGGAGACGGTCGCCGCGGCGGATAGGCAGAACGGGGACGGGTTCCTCAGCATCGAGGAGCTCCGCGCGGTGATGGAGGACGGGGATTCGGAGGCGCTGCATGCGGTGTTCGACGAGTACGACGAGGACAGCATCGAGGAGCTCCGCGCAGTGATGGAGGACGGGGATTCGGAGGCGCTGCAGGCGGTGTTCAACTAGTACGACGAGGACGGGGACGGTGTGGTCACGGCGGAGGAGCTGCGGCGCGCGATGCATAGGCTCGGCGGGGTGGATCTGACGGCCGAGGAGTACGCGGAGATCGTCGCGGCCACGGACAGCGACGGCGACGGTGTCATCTCCTTCGACGAGTTCAAGGCCATGATGGCCAAGTACGCGGAGACGGCGTCATCCCCTTCGACGAGTTCAAGTCCATGATGGACAAGCGGGCGTGATCCACCCGATCGGCCATCGTCTCGTCACTCGCCGCGCATCGGCGTATGTACCTGCTACTGCTGAACTTATCCCCAATTTAACCAGGATTCGTTTGTGTGGCGTTTTCAGTGGTTAGATCGAACATCGAAACTAGTTGGGACCTTTTTGGTGCAACCGTAGTTAATCGGACGAATACTGATATGGATGACTCCAAATGTGTATTGGAAAATTTCAACGAAGACGGACAGTTCTTTTGGTGAAAGGGTAATTAGTTACGTGAATACTGATGATATGCATGATCCCAAATGCATGGGGAATTTTCAACGAAATAGATATGCAAACTCGAATCGATCGATCAAGAGATATTGCTTTTTTTAGAGAGAGAGAGAGAGAGAGAGAGAGAGGAGATATTGTTTTTCTACTTGATAGATTGGTCTTGTTTTCTGCCTAGTCATACGATTTCGAGTTTCCAGTTTCAAATGCGTGTACAGAATCGTCGAAATCAGGGCTTGGTTGCTGATGATCGTCATGTGGATATCATCGTCCTTCGGCACACTACTAGCACTGTCATAGAACAAGTCATTCGCGTCTCTCCTTGCACTAAAAGTGTAATTAATTTGATGCCAAAATGAACTCATCTAAATTTTAGCAAAACCAAAACATGGTAAGTTTGATAACACCCTATCGTTCCGCCTTCCGCATAAAAGCAAAATCGTAAATTTAAATTCTAAAACTGAATTTAAGACTTAATTTTGGGGTTTTTCAACGTAATTATTTTTTCCAACATTTGTTTTTAAATATCTAATAACAAATACTCCCTCCGTTTCAAAATATTTGACACCGTTGACTTTTTAGCACATGTTTGACTGTTCGTCTTATTAAAAAAATTTGTGAAATATGTAAAACTATATATGTACATGAAAGTATATTTAACAATGAATCAAATGATATAAAAAGAATTAATAATTACTTAAATTTTTTGAATAAGATGAATGGTCAAACACGTATTAAAAAGTCAACGGTGTCAAACATTTTGAAACGGAGGGAGTATATAAAAAAATACTCTTAAAATTATTTTTGCAATCTCTAATAAGTCGTATTACGATGAGGTTGATATTTGATACATGTTTAGATTGTCGTCGTTGGGAAAAAAAATTTGAAACCACGCAAGGTGTCTTTGTATTGAAGAAGAAGAGAATTGACCCACTTTATAAGGAAAACCGGACCCGAAAAACAAACAATTGCACGGTTAATTGTGGGAAACTGGCTAAAACCCACCACGCAGAGAAGAGCAAGGGACCTAGCTACAAAACTAACAACGACGGCGGAGCCCAACCGCAGGACATCGCTGCCAAGCTAATCACAAAAGCGACTCAACGGCTTCGACATCGCAGAAGAGGTGTTATCGTTGCCGAGCTAATCGCGCAAGCAATCTAGCAGCGCCGACTTCACAACCGCAGTGACACTAAGCCACGAAAGTCGCCAAAGCGAAAAACAGCTCCGATATCTAACGATGGACATCAGCCAAGCCACCAAGGAGCCACTTCCTTCACACGGCTAGCACCAACTCCATAGAAGAGACTGCAGCATGTCATCGTTGTCGAGCATCGCCGCACCCCATCAACGAGCAGCTCCGACTTCATCAGTAGAAACAACCGAAGAGCGTGTTGCCCACCACAAGAACTAAGTGGACTCAAGAAGACAAAGGCCTCGCCGAACACCAAGGTATGAAAGCTTTTGAACCGAGAAAGACCATCAACAGTCATCGATTCATAGGAACTTCTCTGAAGCGATGCCGCCAAGGAGGACATGATGCATAACATCGGCGCCGCTCGTCCGAAACCGGAACAAGGTTTTTACCTAGATATTTGTGGGCGATATAGAAGAAAAACGCCACGACAACACCTCCAAGAAGGGAAACGGCGCCTACGGGCGTCGTCGTCAAACCGGCCAAAGGCACGGCAAGGCTTTCGCCAGCGTCTTCATATCACCCACACAAGCACCCCATCGACGGCCATAGAAGGTCTCGCATAATGACTCGCAAGTACCATACCTCGTAAACAATGGCAAAGACGGGCTCTTGGTCGAGCCGCCAGCCGCGCCTCCACCACGCCGGCCCCCCGCATGCCGCCCTCCGCCGAGGGCGTGGCCTCCTGCCCCTCCACGGCCATCACGGCCTCCAGCGCCGCCGCGCCGACGCTCCCTCCACCGCCAGCCGCAGCCATCGACGCCCGCAACTTGCCCCGACGCCGGCCACCGCATCCACAGATGCAGCCGCCGCCGCCGCTAGTCAACCACCGGGGCGCCGCCGGATGCCTGCCCGCCAGATCAAGGCGCGGATTTGCCGGCCTCTTCCTCCACCGCCAGCGTGGCTAGGGGGAAGCCACAGCGCAACACCTCCTCCAACGTCCCGTCGCTGCCCCCGCCTCCTCTACCCCGCCACCGTCGTCTCCCCCTCTCCGTTGCCTGTCGGGCTACACGCCGACCGGCGCTGGCGCCACAGCCACCAGCGCCGTCTCCTCCGCCCCGTCGCCAGCCGGGCTTCTCACTACCTCCACCCACCCCGTCGCCTGCTCTCGGTCGCAAGCCGCCGTCTCCACCCGCTGCCGAAACGGTGCCGCCAACCTCCGTCTCGAGATCTTCCCGCGCTGGATCTGGAGAAACGGGAGTTGTGAACCCCGCCGCTGCCGTCCTCGCGAGCCGCTGGCTTTGCCGGCACCTCGTTCGGGCGGCGGCGAGGTAGGGGGCGACGGCGCTGGGTTGCGACGGCGTCTCGGGTTGTCGCCGCCCGTGCCGCCCTCACGAGGAGGCGACGCGGGGGCCTTGTCGGGAAAATACAAATTATCCTTACACTTTAGACGTAGAACGGCGGGGTGAGGAGGGGATCGAATAGGGCGGAGGAGTGCCGTTGTTGGAAATTGAACTACTCTAGCGAGAAATGGATGACCCCACCCCACCCCCTCTCGTCGCAGCTAAGTTCAGCCCAAGAAACAGGAGTTCATGATTAGGAGTAATCATGGTGTAAATGCAAGCGAGAGCAAAGAAATTATATTGGTTTAGGTAACTGAGAAGCATAAATAACACCCTAGTGTGGTGTTCCTTTTTTGGATTTGTGGTAGTAGTCAAGAGTTAAGAGTTGCTTTTCCTTATTCTTTTTTTTCTTGGTTTAGATCTGGGGTCCCCTTTCTACGTGGTCATGCCTCTCTTCTTAGGGCATCCACAATGTGCCATAATAATGAGCCATAAGATCTTATGACTAGCCATATACATTATGAGCATTAGCCATGAGACATTAAATGCTAAAAATAGCCATAAGTTTATGGCTCAACCTTAAAAAATAAAATAATGAGATAAATCACATATGCACACTAAAGAGGATGAGAATAGATTATGGTATGGTGGGACCCACCTTAATGTAAAATTTGTTTACATAAACGCGGGACCCATCTTAACATCTATTCTTACCTTAAACATTGTCGTCATAAACATAGGGTATGGTGGGACCTAACTTATTTCCTCTAAGACCTTAAACATTGCTATTACCCTCACAGTTCATGGAGATACCACATTGGCCATCTCCTTACAAATGAATTCTTATGCACAAGGGTTAGGTATGATTATTCTTGTACCTTATTGACAAGTGAACCCAATTCTTGAGTCCACATAGGCCCCTTTTCAAGCCAGCTGAGTTGGAGGCGTGTTGCACGTCCTCCGCGCACGTATGGGATATGGAAAAGGCAACCGGTGTACTTGCGGATGTTTGTGGTGTCCACTTTGTCGGCCTCAAGTAAAAGGACGTGCAAGGGAGTCATTGGCTTGGTCGGGCTGCATGGCAACCAACTATTCCACCTAACACTCCACACCTCTTCCTAGAAGCAGTCATGATAGTGCGAGTGGCGACCACGCCAGCACCATCGCATCACCCGTCTCCCTGGTCGTACATCGGGTGGATATATGTTACTTCACATTTTTTTTAAAAAAAAAAGCTCTTCACATTTAATGTAAAGCTCTATTCGTTGATGGCAACAATAGCATACCACATATGAAACTAAGAGAGCCTTAAGAGTTATTAAGATCGGTGGTATAGTTAATACGTACCAAATGTAATAATTAACATATTTTGTCAATCTTATAGTCTAGTTATATAATAGCTCGGTATAGATATACTCATACAACTGTTTGTTATGGATATATATACTAAATTATTAATATCTAACCCACGAGTCCGTGATACGGTTGAAATTTATAGACCATATTTTTCTCTTTTATCTTATATCTCCTTCACCTCAACGCAAATTTGATATAGTAATTTCTATCTACTTATGTCACCCACTCTTAGCCAATATCATTCGCTTCAACAATGTTTGTGGTCGATTTACCAGTTTCAAGCTGGCCGTAATCTAGATTTGGTTTGAGGCCCTACCAAAATATTGGTACTAAGTTTTGGCACTACTAAATTTGATAGAGTAGATTTATTATTAGCTATGTAAAAATTAGTCACAATCCAAATACTACCAAAATGATATTTCAAACTTCCAAAATATTAGCATGGCACAGATTGGCACTACCCTTGTCGCCAGCCAAACACACAGCGGCAAGTTTTGTGGGCCCCGTTGAAGACCATCTCTGGTCAAGCGACTCAAGCGCTAAATAAAAGAGGACCAAAACCAACCCCATCGCCCGAGAGCCCCAAACCCCCAAACCTACACACCGATCAAAACGGAAACGCGCGCCGCACCATCTGTCTCGCCATGGGTCTCGTCGTTTCCGCCGCCGCCTCATGTGGTCGCCTCCGCCGCAGCCGCAGCCGCTCGCCGCCCCCGGCTGTCCTGGATCCCTCCCAGTCCCCGTTGTCCTTGGAGCGGGAGGCCGAGCCGGAGCTGATCCGCGTCTTCCGCTGCTTCGACACCGACGGCGACGGCCTCATCTCGGCCGCGGAGATGAGGGAGTTCTACGGGTGCTCGGTGGACGAGGCCGAGGAGATGGTCGCCGCCGCGGACAGGGACGGGGACGGGTTCGTCAGCATCGAGGAGCTCCGCGCGGTGATGGAGGGCGGGGGATTGGACGCGCTGCGCGCCGCGTTCGACGAGTACGACGAGGACGGGAACGGTGTGATCACGGCGGAGGAGCTGCGCCGCGCGCTGCGTAGGCTGAACCTCGACGGGATGGATCTGACGGCTGAGCAGTGCGCGGAGATCGTCGCGGCCGTGGACAGCGACGGCGACGGGGTCATCTCCTTCGACGAGTTCAAGGCCATGATGAGCAAGCAGGCGTGATCCACCCGACCGGCCATCGTCTCGTCACTCGCCGCGCATCGTCGTATGTACCTACTACTACTGAACTTAGCCCCAGTTGTTAATCAGGATTCGCTTTAGGATTTCGCATTCTAATTGCTTCGATCTATTAGCCTCACCCAACTAAGTTTGTGTGGCGTTTTTAGTGGTCAGATTGAAACTAGTTGGGACTTTTTTGGTAGTTCGTGTGGCGTTTTTAGTGGTCAGATCGAAACTACTTGGGACTTTTTTTTGGTGAAAGCATAGTTAATTTGACGAATACTGATATGGATGAGTCCAAATGTATTGGAAAATCTCAATGAAACGAGCGGGTTTTTTTTTTTTTGGCTGAAAGGGCAGTTAGATGAATACTGATATGGTGATATGCCAATGCATGATCCCAAATGCATGGGAAATTTCAATGAAATAGGTATGCAAACTTGAGTATTGCTTTTCGGCTTGATAAATGTTTTTTTGATTCATTCTGCTTGATATATTGATCGTTTCAAGGACCTATCTGGTGCAGAATAACAGAATAACCATACTTGTCAGTTGATTTTTAAAAACTTTTAACTGCTTAGTTGATTTCCTCTCGCTGCTTAAACAGCCACCACATAACGAGGAGTATCTATCTACTCCAAATTACCGCGTTTACGTTTTGTTTGCATGAGCCGAAGTTAAAGGTGAGCAACTAATTTTTGTTTTTACTGCACGACTGTTCCTCTTTTTTTACTACTGCCTATTGACTTTGGGATTCCCACACGGTTATTATATTTTGCACGGCTCCGCGCACCGGAAGGAACGGACGCGTGACGCTCCGCCCATGCGTGCCCGCCCGTGAGAAATCCATCATACGTGAGGCCATTGCAGGTCGACTCCATGTGTGCATCGTGCGCACTGGCACTGCACCGCTGATGATTTGATTCTTCGGGCTGAAAAATACCGATACGTTCCATCCTTGCGTAGCGGTGTAGTGGTGGCATGTATTCCTGTATAGTACCCGCTTGCAGCTCTTTTCTGCTGTACGATCATTCAGTATCCACGTGCTTAGAGCAGCAGGTATAATAGAATACTATTAGCCAACTATAAATATATTTCAGTGAGATAGTAAAAGATGAGAGAGAAAAGCAGTGGACTGCAGTTCTATAACTAGCTGCAGCACGAACTCTAAGATGCAATATGTGTATGACAGGTGAGACCATATATTAACAGTACAGTAAGCAACTATTTGCATAAATTGACTATTAGATTGAGTATAAATGAATTGGAGGTAGTAGTGAGTTATACTATTAAACTTGCTCTTAAACGTTTGGGAATTGGGACCCACGCCCATGTATCAGTTCTTCGGTTCTTCCCTAAGAGCAGGTATAATAGCAGGCTATTAGCCAGCTGTAAACATATTTTAATGAAATAAAGAATGAGAGAGAAGAGCAGCGGGCTACATATCTGTAGCCAGCTGCAGCACGGACTACAAGACGCAATGTATGTATGACAAGTGGGTATATATATTAATAGTATAGTAAGCAACTATTGTATAAATTGCTATTAGATTGGCTATATATGAATTAGAGTTATTAGTGGGCTATACTATTAAACTTGCTCTAATCCAACGAGTCTGATTAGAAGGTGTCTTAATTAATATAATCGGCAGGAGCTCACTGTTTGTTAACAGTTCAGTCAAACACCGCCTTGAAAGTCGCTTATTGTAGGGAACCTACGCTCTTCGCCTGATTGCCTCTACCCCACATTCAGTCAGACTGTCAGAGGCTCAAAGCTCAAGCTGGAGTATTCATTCATTTCCCTTGACCGTTGTTGCCTTGCGCCACTGCGACCCCCGCGTCTGCGGCTCGCAGTCGCAGCCCGCATAGAAAACACCACTACCGCGGCCATATACTTCCCTCGATTCGACGGGAGAAGCAGATAAGTTTTTCTAGAGCACATCACGATCACACTTCACCCATTGAGCCGCCGGCCGGAAGGAGAGGATATGGACGGCGACGCTGGCATGATACCGACCTCGTCCTCCGCCGAGACGTCACCCTCTTCCTCCGATGTCGACACCGAGGTACACAAAGAATCATTAGCCGTGCCATTTCATTTGTTTTGGAGATCTTGATATGGGTGTGGATGTTGCTCTGTTGTAGTCCACGGGGTCGTCGTTCTTTCGGGACCGGAGCACGACGCTGGGGACGCTCATGGGCGTTTCCTTCGACGACGACGAGGAGCAGCAGCAGCAGCAGGGGGAGGCGGCGCGGGACGGAGGGGAGGAGAGTGAGAGGCCCCGCGCCGCCGCGGCAGAGGAGGAGGAGGACGGGCGGCGGTGGCGCAGGAGGTGGAGGCGTAGGCGCTGGCGCGGCGCCGGCGGCAGCTGGTGGCGCCTTTGCAGGGACGACGCCGGCGGCACGACGTCGCTGGGCCACTTCTTGCACATGGAGAGGCAGCTCGCGGGCACCGGGCTGCTCTCCGGCGACGGCGTGGAGGAGAGGAAGTCGTCGACGCCGCTGTTCGACAACGGGAGAGCGCTGCCTGCGCGGGAGGAGAGGGCCAAGTGGCAGCTGCGGAGGTCGGCGCAGGCGACGTCGTCGTCGCTAGTGAGGCTGCCGGTGCTGCTCACCGCCATCTGCAGCGGCGGAGCCTGATTTGTCATTACACTTGTTCTGCTTTTAAGTTTGAGTAAATGAACTTACGATAGCAAGCAAGCATTACTGATGAACAATGATTTCCTGCGTATTCGTGATTGAAATTACTACCAAGAATTTGGAAATTTGCACCTGATGTAGTTGAAAATAGGCATGACGATTGAGAGAGATCGAGACCCACCGACCACACCGTTCTAGTGATGCCCGCCAGGTGCCAGCACAAGTACGCAGCGGAGAGATTCACGGATTTCACCCGTGAACAGAAGCTCGACATGTGATCCCCGCCTCTGCTGCCTTTGCTGGTCCATTGGATTGTCACTAGTCGCCTGAGTCAGCGTCTGACAGGGTGAATTCAGTACACAGGGTGCAGCATTTGTTCAGAGGAAACGTCGGTGGTGCACTTTATATATAATCCACTCGCTGAACCATAGCAGTACAAGTGTAACTATGTCTACAGTACTGTTACAACATTGCTAGTAGGAGTAGCAGCCTAATAAAGCCTATGCATTCCTCCTGGCCGATATTTTTCGCATGAAAGGAGGTGGCTGCAGTTAACTATACTTTGTTGGGGTTTTGTAGAGGAAGTTAACTATATTTGGTTACACAAGTAGTATCAATCAACCAGGCAATAATCACCCGATTCGGCCCTGACAAAACAAACAATAGCCCAGGCCCGTATAGCTGATATACTTTGGCGGGTTGTTCTAGTCGTCGGCCCACTCGGCTGGGTTTGGGTGGGCGGAGAAGTAGGCGAGGAGGCCCATGAGCGGCGCGTTGATGTACGTGGTGGGCTCCGACTGCTGGAACACGGCGCGCGCGTCGGGGAACGCGTCCGTGGCGTCGCTGGGCCCGCCCACGACGGCGCCCACCAGCAGGTTGGGGTTGGGCGCCGCGCTGGCGTAGTAGGCGGCGCCGCCCTTGCACCCGATCCGCGCCGGGTGCGCGGCGACGGACGGGAGGGAGCTCCCGCGGTGGTGGATCCGCCGCGGGAACCTGGCGCCGTAGCCCACCATGTACGACATCCGCAGCGGGTTGTCGCCGAGGATGTAGTCCACCTGGCGCTTGGCCACGCGGCGGAGCTGCGTCGGCGACGCCGAGCCGCCCGCGCCGCACGACACCCGCGCGCCGGCGTGGCTCAGGTAGTTGGAGTAGGCGAGCAGCAGGAACGACAGCGATGTCACGTGCTGCATGTTGCTGCCCCCAACCTTGAACAGCAGCCCACCTGCATTGCAATGCCAACACAACAAATTTAAGAGCTGCGGTTCTAGCTGAGAAAAGAGAGAGAGAGAGAGAGATGGTGATAGAGAGATTGATTAACCTGGGGAGTACTGGATCTGGGGGTGATTAGAGATGCCCGGGAGGAGGCTGCACATGAAGTTGTCGGCGTTGACACGGAACGACTGGAAGTACTCGTCCTTCCCCATCAGAACCTCCTGGAGTAACGCAAGATTAATTAACGTAAGCAGTACAGTAATACTCCTACTGGTAGTACAGTTGTTTGTAGTACTGGCCCCTAGAAGGCTAGAACTCAGGGTGTTTTGGACATTGCACGAGAGAATCGATCGACCCGTGACCGTGAGCACTGAAAAGCGTTCTTCCCTGCTACTTCTACAGTAGACTGCAGCACGGGCAGCAACCGGAGCACAAGGACCTAGGAGGCTATCATAGGAGGAGTGCAGTGCAACGGACAAGCATGCTCATACAGTAGTCGTACACTACTACTCTACTAGTACTCCCTCCGTTCCAAAATATAATAGCAGTATACTAGCTCAGTTCCTACTATTAATTCATCTTAAAGCCAATATATATAATAGATTAGCTATAAGATTGGTTATATTTTTCTTATCTTCTCTCTATCTCTCACTTATGCATTTAATGTATTTGTCTTGGATCTTGTGATAAGCTAGCTCTTGCATGAGAGCCCACAACTTTGATTTTTCAGTATCTCTCTTATCCACCTAAGCTTATAGTAGGCTTATAGCTCACTATTATACTTGTTCTAAGGCATAACCACCCTTAACCCAAATACCAAAAAATAATTATTATCATATTGTAGTATGGATCATCCTAATAAATACATTGCATGCATCCATTAGGGCACCCACAATGGTTATCTATAAGCTCTCTACAAGAGATTCATGTCAGCATATTTTCCTACTTGGAAGATATTAAATGAATAGAGAGAGCAAAGCTATCTACTAACTTAGAGATAATCTATAGAGAAAAACGAGGCAATGCATGAGAGAGGTATAGATACCCATGTAGACATACTATTGAGGTGGTTTACTATTAATCTAGTCTATTGCTGAGATGAACATGTTTTATAGAGAGCACTTTACTTTACCATTGCGGGTGCTCTTAAAATTAGAGAACATGAGAGAGGATTAAAAAATAATTAATAGAGAATAAGTCATAGTTAATTACTTACATACATGTATACTTTATATTATGGAACGGAGGGAGTATGATGGATTAGGCTGCTAGTCAAAGTACGCTATTACTAGCAGTATAGTATTACGGAGTACGTACTCTACGTGATACTATCAGTTCTCCTGTCACGGCCGTCAGGGTGTACTGGCTTACTTTGACTCTTTGAGTATTCAAAGACAAGCATCAGAAGTTCAGAACAAACCTGATTGAGCCCACATGTAAAGCTAAAAGGGTTAAAACTTAAAAGGTTCAATTCCGTACGCAGTCAGTTATGCAGTCATTAGTAGATCTTTATTATTAACAGTAAAAAGAGGTTTCAAGAGTACTACCGGATAACTTGCGGTTTGGGCAACTCTTTGTGAAAGACGAAGGCATAATGAAGCTGCCAAAAATGACGAGGCTTCTTTGAAAAGCGCGTCAGCATCGGCACACAGTAGTAAAATCATGGAGGAATGGTGCATTTACCTTGGAGATGAGGACGTTGATGCCGGCGTGCTTGTTGTCCCAGCCGAACTCGTTGATGGACTCGCTGGCGCCGAGCACCACCTCGTTCTTCTTGATGTACTCGCGGTACTCGCGGCGGCGCGACGCCTTGTGCAGCCACGCCGCGCCCCAGAGCAGCTCGTCCTTGTACCCGGAGAAGTCGCAGTAGCAGGGGCACACCGCGTCGTGGAGGCTGCTGCTGTAGGGGCCCCGGTACTTGTCCGCGAACTCGAACACCTAGGAGTACACGAAGCAGATAACGTGGACATGAGGAAACAATCGAAATCAATGCTGCCGCGGTGGCGCGCACTGGTGTACTTACGGCGATGGCGCGGTCGAGGAGGCGCTTGGAGTAGGCGGGGTCGGCGTCGCGGAAGACGATGGAGCCGGCGGCGAGGGCGGCGGCGGTCTCGGCGGCGACGTCGGAGCCGGGGTGGGAGGGGTCGACCTTGTAGACGGTGCGGGGCGTGTCCATGTCCTCGGGGCGCTCCCAGCACGAGTGGTCGCGGAAGGCGTCGCCGACCTGCACGTACACGGTGTTGGGCTTCGCCGTCGCCTTCATCAGGTAGTCCGTCGCCCACCGCACCGCCTTCCTCGCCTCCTCCTTGTGCGGCCCGAAGCTCCGCCCGAAGTCGATCAGCCCCCACGACATCAGCGTCGCCGTGAACGCCATCGGGAACCCGAACTTCACGTTGTCGCCGGCGTCGTAGTACCCTCCGGTCAAGTCCACCTACACGCGGCCACAGCAGGTTACTCACAAATCACAATGCTGCTTCACCAGTAGTACATTCTTAACGCCAAGTTATAGGACGAGAATACGTACGCTGGCGGCGGCGCCGTCGTGGAGGCCGGAGTCGCGGCGCCAGCGGAGACGCTGGTCGGGAGGAAGCCTGCCGGAGCGCTGTCCCTCAAAGAACAGTATGCTCTTATGGAGCGCGTCGCCGTAATCATGCTGCCCGGCCACCACCACCACCGCAGCCGGCGAGAGCAGCAGCACCAGCACAGCCGCAGCAACCACCGCCACCGCCTCGACTCTCAACGACGCCGCCAGCATTGCCGATGGAAGAAATGAACCCAACGCAATGGCAAATCGGCAATGCACACCACAAACTGCTTTCTGTTGCCCGCGAAGAACTTTCGAAATGTGCGATACACTTCGGTCGACGCTTCGCGGCGGCCGGGTGATCGAGCGAGCGTGCGAGTGACTGAACGAGGCGTGGTGGTTTTTTTTTTTGCTGCTCTTGCTCTGCTACCGCACGGTGTTGCACAGAGTGATCGGCTTGGCAACGAGGCGGGGTTTAATAATGCCAGGGAGGCGAGTGAGGTGGATGCCAGTGAGCCGGAGCCGAACGGGTCGGCGGATAAATACTGCACGTGACGGCCGCAGACATGTTCGGACGGAATGACGGGTGGGACCGTTGGACCATGGGGAGAAAAAACAGCCTAGGATGCTGGGGCAAGGGCCAGTGAGGCGCCGACGCGTGGATGCGGCGAACGTTGCGGCGGAGGAGGCGTACTGTGCTGTGAAAGGTTGGTTGGTTAGTTTGGTTCGTTTCGGCCGTTGGACCTCTGGAAAGACTGCAGCTGGAGTATAATGGTGCGGTTTAGGGGGTTTAGCCCCTCTCTCCCAAACACCCCCTTAGTACCTGGGAATGTATTTTACTCCTACGAAGTCTGACCTTTTGGAAACCTTGGATTGTTCTATCCGAAGTTGTAATTGCCAGATTTGGGCGTACGGGCAGCCAGTGATCACTGATCAGTAGTATACTCCAGCAAACAGGCTCTTTGAAACGAGTAGTACTACAAGCGACAGCTAGAGTTTCGACTTTTACATTTCATTCCATTAGTTATACAGCTCTGCGTGGTGTGTTGTTTTTCAATGCCGGGTCATTGCTCCTCCCCGTGATCAATCGTGTTTTCACTTTTCACCTTGCTCGTCCTTCAGTATTTTTACCCACTGAGATAAAATCTGCTCAGCGTCTCCGTTGAAAGTTTGTTACTCTAATGCCACTATTTTTTTGTTCTACGCTAATGCCGCTATTTCTGCCCATAATCTGGAACATGCATACTGTCCTTATAACAAGCGTAGTTCTAGGCTTTAATCGCGTGCCAAACATCCATAAGCACAGTAGACCTTTAGATCGATCCGTGCATTGCAATCTACGACACCATCAATCACGGCAGAGACAGAGGAGCTGACGACCCGGTCCCACGGCATTTCGGCCATCGCCGTCATGAGATCCGGCGGTTTTTGTTAAATGTGACCGTTGGGCCGGGGCATGCAAAGGGCACCGTAGCATGGATCCCCCGGCACAGTGAGAGTGCAGTTACTAGGTTGCTGAGGCGAAGGACGGAGAGCCGTTAAAGCAGACCTGGAGAAGAAGATGACGAAGGAAGGAGAATGCCTGCCGGCCTGCCCTTGCAAAACCCGTTTTCTTGGAATTTTGCAGGCATTGACGGACGGGCGATGGCAAGTGTCCGCGTATATCTGACCGGCTGATCGATCGATCCAACGGCTAGAGAAGTAAAGAGACGAGTTCCCGTCCACTTCGCGTCCAGCCAGTTCGGTGAGGCTACCGCCACTTGGCTTGCACGCTCTGATGCAGCTTGGCTAGCTAAAGCTAGGCAAGGTTCTTGCCGGGAAAAGACGGAAAGATCGTCGCTGCACGCTTCGACGCTTTTGACGGACACAGCGCGCGGCGGTGGAGCGGTGGGGGAGCCTGGCAGCCTGCGGCTCGCGCAGTGATATCACTAGTGGCAACGGCAGTTTTGGTGCGTGCGTTTAAGAACGTCCGAGACAGCTCGTGAGTCGTGACCGAGTCTATAAGATTGGAAAGTTGCCCGTACTTTCTAGTAGGTGAAATGGCATGTTGAGTGCCAACCAACGGCCGGAACTGTATGTTCTCGAGTTGCTTTTGGCCATGCCGAGACCATTCGTACGTGTTTCACGGAAAACACCACAATACGCAAATGGCTCAAGAAAGATTACCATGCTGCACATTATCGCTGGACCATGTACTCAGGGCTTTCACAATGCGAGTAGGTATCATTCTGCACCAACAAGCCACGCCAAAGATTCTATGCCACGTCTGCGGATCCTAGTCTGAGCACACGTTCCTCGTTAGAATGTGTCAGGATTCGTCAGGTCTGACCCATAGTTCACATCCCGCACCGCAAGGGGAAGGGAGAGGGAGGCCGGAGAGAGAGCTTGTCTTGGTGGCTGGTGAGGGAGCTCGTCTCGACGGCTTGGGAGGGAGCCTGTCGTCCCTCGAACTGCACCACCGCGTCAAGGAGCTCGCCATTGTCCACCTCTCTATGCTACCCGAGATTGATCTGCCACACCGCTCAGTCTCGATCCACCGTTAGTGCTCGATTAGCACTATTGGAGATTGCTTCGCCCCACCCGAGCTCAATTCACACTGCCGAAGAACGATTCGCGCCGTCTAAACTCAATTTGGTAACAATGAACATGGATCCATGCACGGAGGAGGAAGGGAAGACTTGGCGGCAAGAGAAAAGAAGGGAAGGCACAACGGCCGGAGATGGAGGAGGGGATGCACGGTGGTCGGAGATGGAGGAGGGGAGGAGCGCGACCAGCGAAGAGGATCACAGCAACAGCGATGCACAAGAGGGAGGCGGATAGGGGAACGTACGAGAGGGAGATGGAGAGGAAAATAGAAATATCTAGTTGATCTCCATTGTGAACTGAGTTTCTTAGTAGTAGCGTCATCCCACATGGCACACCTTTTAGGCACAAGGTCCCTCTTACCACATGGCACACCTTTTAGGCACAAGGTCCCTCTTACGAGGAGCTTGTATTGCTCTTGCCCTCGTGGAACGACCAGTCTTGTTAAGATGCTTAGGTGCAACATTCTCTGCATATTGAGAACGGCACCTAGCTCGGCTGGCAGGGAGCTGCCAGGAGCAACGTGCTGGCCTAGGTTCGAATCCCTTCGAACGCAGGTTTTCTCACCAATTTCTTCTCTATCAATATTGAATGCTAAATTCCTTCTTAGTATTCCAAATTTTTTCCTTCAAAAAAAAAAACATTCTCTGCATGTTAGAAATACAGCAAGGTTAAAGGCCAAATAAAGCACATTGCAAGGAGATTGGCCACAGAGCCATGTGTGCATATTAGAAACTAGTCAGTGGCCCCGCGCGTTGCTGCGGGTAATGCTTGTAACCACATTAGTTATTTGAACTATACAAAAATAAATTTGAAATTACAAAGAGACATTGCAACGGAGTAAGATATATCTATGCACATATTAGAATAATATAGCATATACTGATAGGTAAAAGAAAACTTAAATGTTTTGTGGACTTGGAAAGCTCCACACATATACTCCCTCCGTCCCATAATATAAGAGATTTTGAGTTTTTGCTTGTAACGTTTGACCACTCGTCTTATTCAAAATTTTTTGAAATTATTAATTATTTTATTTGTGACTTACTTTATTATCTATAGTACTTTAAGCACAACTTTTTATTTTTTATATTTGCAAAAAAAATTTGAATAAGACGAGTGGTCAAACGTTACAAGCAAAAACTGAAAATCCCTTATATTGTGACACGGAGGGAGTAGTTGTGAAGCACAAGACACAGTTGATGTATATAGATTCTACGTTGTATATACATGTTGTGATGTCACCTTGTCAACATATGTCCATACTGGCAATTCGTTGATAAGTAGTAATCAACATAGATCCATATTGCAAAGCTATTTGAATATATTGCTAGCACCAAGATAAGGATATAAAGTAGATTGGATTGACAGGGCAGTTTAAATAAATAGATTACATGTGTGTAATAAAATATGGATAGTGATCCCACCATGTAAGGTGCAGCTCAACCTAACTGTTCATAATGGGATAACCTAATATGTTGTCTCGTTCTTTTGCCTTGAAGCAATATTCCTGCATAGTGCATGTCAAGAATGAACAATTATAATTGCACCGTCACAGATGCTCTAAAAAATACAGTAGATATTCAAAAAAATACAGGTAATGTGAGTAATATGGTACATGAAGATCACCGCTCATGAGGGGCTAAGCGCATATAGAGCAAGCAAAGATAGCATTTTATTTTGAGATCTAGAACTCCCTCCCCAGCATTTGCATTGAAATCAAGTTTCATTTCATTTTTAACAGAACAAACTTAAGCTGACATATGAAAGACTGAAAATTGATCTCCATTTGCATCTTGAAATTAACATTCAATCTTCCTAATCAAAGTAACAAAAGGTACATTTTCCCTACAGTTCATATCTCTGTTGACTTCAGCCTTCATCCCCATTTAGTGAACTGGAAGCTAAGGTGTGAATGACAAAATGAAATATAATTGTAGTTCCTATTGATCTGTAGCTGGTGAAAAAAAAGCACTGTCAAAACATAAAACATTTTTGTACTCAAAGCAAGCATTGGACCTGCTACAATTGAACTTCAAACATTGGTCAATGCTGGGACAGTATTATCTATCATGTACATACAACCGATAAATTTGGAAAATAAGTGCAAAAGAAAGTATATAAAAGGGAAGTTATATGGCCCAAACCTTGTAGATTATTCCCTAATGGTGTGTTGTATGCCTGTTTAAAAGCATTCTACAGATCATGGTTGGTGCAGGCAAACATGATTCCAGCTTGATTTATGGCAGTAAAACTGAATAATGAATGGTTCAGGAAAAGAGAATGATAAGTCAGACAAAAAAAGCAATTACTATATAATATATATATGCCGTGATTAATCAGCAGCAGACCATGTAAAGTAGACACCATAAAAATTCTTAAAGCTAGGAAGTACCACAACTTGACAAATATATTGAATTGGATGGTTGATTTTTGTTTAGCAGGACATGAAGGGAATAGCCATAGACAGGTTGTAAATTCCCAAACTTTTCATTAGTAACCATGTTTGGTTATCTCGGGAATATTTTTCAATGTGTATATGCAATACCATACCTTAACATGTTATAATAAAGTTATCAGGTCAAAGCAGAGATTCTATCCAGAAAAAGGGAAGTGTTCTCAATTTTCCATCAGTGATAAGTACAAAAGTCAAAGTGTCCTCTGAATACCGGTAATTAAATTATTAGCTATTTAATTTTGTTTGAAGGGATCGTGTACTGCAGAAAGCTGAACTCAAGGTTGAAAATGGATAGATTTAGAAACATTACCAAATAGTATAACTTTTAAGACATATACTTCTACAGAAATAGCTTACAGCACAAAGATGTCATCATCTGCTCGCAGAGATGCTCTATTGCTAGGAATAAATGCTGCAGTAATTGTATGGTTTTCAGGTTGGATGCTACATGCAGAATATGTAATTAACCATGACATATTGCCATAAAAGATTGTGAATGCACCTAAATGCAATCTGAGAATACAATTTGAGCATTCAGAAAGGCAAAGTCCTAAACTCCCAATCTACTGATTAAAGAAGTAAGCACTATAGGCTAGGTAAAACACTTCCCATTTTACGCACTAATTTTTCCTGTCATTGGGGCACACGATATAATAATCTTGCCGTGTAAATAAGCAAACATATGTTGTAACCACATATTCATGACTATGGAATGGCCCACAAAAAATGCATATTCACTAATCACAAATCGGCAATGACATTATGATAGTAGTCTAATAGACAATCACAAATCGACAATCAAAAATAACAAATTGATAGCACAGAGCAAGTTTCAATTAAAAATCAGTATAGAGCATATTAGGTAAAGGAGCAGACCTGTAAAGTACCTGCAGGGGAAGGCCGGAATCGAAGGGCGAAGGCCGAAGGTGGCACCGGCGCACTGCTACTGCCTGCTGTGCTACACGCCACGACCTCCCTGGCTCCCGGTATCGGCGGCCGGTGGCTGGCTAGGCGGTAGCGGCGCGACGGATAGCGGGAGTTGGAGCAGAGATTTATGCGGGCGAGGAGAGGCAGAGTGGGAGCGGAGACGGCTGCGACCGGCGAGGCACAACGACACGCGAGGAGAGGCGGAGTTGCCGCCTCGTCCGAGTGGCGGACAGGCGGAGTCGCGGAGAGCCGGACTGCCGCCGGCCGCCCGGCCAGAGAGCGGAGAGAGTTGGCCACCGTCGCTGGCTCCCCGCGAGGCGCTGAGGCGATGCGAGGAACGGCGTCCCGCGTCCGTGACGGCGCGGCGTGCACCCACGGGCGCCGGGTGTTGGTGGAGGCGTGGCGCCGCCACCGCTTCCTCAGTAGGACAAGCAGTGGCGTGGTAGAGGTCGTCGGGGAGCAAGGTCAAGGTGGCATGGTGGAGAGGGGAAAGGCGAGCACAGTGGAGCGGCGATGGCAGATACGCGAAGGAACTCGCAGGAGCAGATACGGAGAATCGTCCCAAGCCGCGGCGGCGGCGTCGATGCGTACACTCGTGGGAATACCTAGAAGCTGGTGGAACGCAATGGAAAAAACAAACGGCTGGATGGAGGCTGACAATGGATCGAGCGGCTCCTATCGTCATGCGACAGTAAAACAGTAGCACACAGTGATGGACGATTGTGGTTGGCACGGCAAAAGCTATAGATTTTATATGATACAGCAAGGTTAATGGCTAATAAATAAAGCACATTGCAAGGAGATTGGCCACAGAGCCATGGGGTGCACATTGCTGCCTAATCATCCTAGGTTACCCCCATCAGAACGAACTGTCCCCCTTAAGTACACATTAGTACTTCCAAAACTAGATAAGAACCCGAAGAGCTTCCTTCCCACTTTCCATTCTCACCACATTTCTAACTTTGTTGGTGCAACGAGATTATGGGTTATATTGTCATTTTCAAAAATATCGCGGGTTATACAACGGCGGATCTAATGGGTGGTCCGGTGGTCCCCAGACCACCAAAAAAATTAGCGACCCAACATGATTTTTTTTTTGGTAAAAAAGAAAAAGGAAAAAAATCCCGTGAGGCTGAAGCTTCCAAACGAAGCGACGCCGTTTCCGCTCCCTCTCCGCTACCGCGACTCCATCTCCTTCTCCTCGCGCGATTGACCGGTTGTAGCAGCGGCGCCATCACGCGTGCATAGCACGGCGGTTTGTTGCTGGCTGCTCCTTCTCTTCCCTACTTCCTGGGGATCAAGTGACGATGGGCCAACAACAAGCGCAAGGAAGCAAGGGCGCCGGAGTGCTAGTGCGGCTGCGGCGGCCGACGGCGACGTGCAGCGATCAGCGCCTGCATCTAGGGCATTGGCCAACTGGGATCTGCGCGAGCTGCAAGGGAAGGAACCAACAAAGAGCAATTAATTACTCCTACTGATTAGCAGATTAGAACCATATTAGGCATTCAATTTTCAGTTTTGACCCAACTCATACATCTAAAATTATACTATTGTATTGTAGATTCTTAAAACATAACGAAATATGTAGATATTTCATCTCATTTTCAGAAACATGTAAAAAAAATGCTTCTGAATTACTCTACTTCCTTTCCTAGTTATGACAGAAGAGTATACTTTAAACAAGATGCGGAAGAAATGGTTCTATTACCTATATTTATATTGTATATATTAAAATTATTATATCCGCAATGTTTAAAAATTTTTATAAGTTGGACCACCCATATCATAAATTCTAAATACGCCGCTGGGGTTATATGTTGCATAAGAAAGATGCTCATACTAGATAATGTCATTAGTGGCATGAAATGTCTACCCCATATCCGTTCGTTTGTACCCTCTAGAGAAAGAAAAAAAAAGCATTATCCAGCGCCAATATTGCTGGAGTTGGATTGGCAGCTTTCCTGTTCATTAGCAAACGTCACTGTCCATCTAGTAGTACAGTAGTGCTGCAAGAATCGAGTCTAACCTGGAAAAAATTTGGGAGGAGGACTGGAGGAGGGACCGGCGCCGTGAGCACGTGATGGCCATCTGTCGGCTGTTGTTGGGTCGTGTTCCTATTTGAGCCTTTCGGCAAAGTTGCTTGCAAAATCTGAAAGGCCTGTATGGTCACGAATGAATGAAACCAGCCCAATGATCCATTAGTTCTCCAAACGAATAAGTTCACTTTAGATCTCTCATCATGACGTAGAGTTTGTATCATATTTTTGAATCATAATAGATATAATGCGTCCCTCAAATTTTCAAACCAGTGCAGACGAGGTCCCAAAGCGGTTTGGATGGCGTTTTTATCTGATGTGGCACCTAGGTGGCTGGTTTGACTTAGTCCTCGTCTCACGTGATGTTGACGTGGCATTCGAAGCAAGATTAAAAAAATATGGAGAAATCAAATAGAAAGATAAAAAATAGTAGTACCCACATGTTAATAAGCCCCACTTCATCCACCTCACCTCGTCCCCTCGCTATCTCCTCTGGGTTGGCGCGCCTTCTTCCCTCAATATCTCTCCCCAAATGCGAGCAACATGTGGCGGGAGAGGAGCTGGGCAAGCGGCACATGAGAGAGCGCCGGACTGGAAATGGCGATCGACACACACATGGATTAGTTAGGGAGAGATAGAGATAGAGTTTGGCGGTGGTTAGCCAGGGGCACGGTAGCGATGAATTCCTGCTTCTCAATGGTGGTGGCGAGCCCGGGTCTGATCCTCGAGCGGCGGTGGTGACTCTATTTCTCCCCCTATTCTGCAGACTCTGGTCGATGGTGACGCTCCGGCTATTCTCTGCTTGATCTCTTGCTGCACGAGCAGCGCGAGCTGTAGCGATCCGAAGTCACATATGCTGCTACGTCTGTCCCGTAGTGTCGTTCGTCTACATCAACAGGGAGCAGTTTGTCGGTCCTCCCCACACATGTTGATGGCTGAGCTACTGCGGCAGAGCGATGGCGTATGCTTCGCCGCGACAAAGGCGCCACGACCGCTCCTCTCCCACGGGCAGGGCACGGCATGCGAGGACGATCTCGCCATGGAGTAACGAGCTAGCCATGGAGGGACTAGCTCGACAACGGCGACCTTTTCCTCATCCTCTCCCGACTCATCGTCCGCCAACCACATCCGTGCCACGCCATCGCTTCTCGGTCGGATCCGTCATCCGCGCGCTCGGAGGAGGGCAGTTGGATGTACATGCAGACGGGGAGGAGCTCACTAGCCATGGCGTGGGCAGGAAGGACCTAGCCGACCCCGGGTGCGGGGGATAAACTCGTCAGGCAGCTACGAACGTGGAAAGAACTTGGCCAACCCAATGAGCATGGGGAGGGGGGAGCTGTTCCCGCCATCCCGCACCACCGACACCCTCCTCCTATGCCGACACAACCGCGGGGGAAGGAAGGGGAATGAGGCACGTGGTCGAAGGAGATGCTCCCACGCCGTTGATGCCCTCCTCCTGCGCCGACGCTGACACCATGCTCATGCGGTCCTGCCGATGCCGTAGCTGCGGGTGCACCAATGATGACAAGGAAAGGGAGAGAGAGGAGGAAGGAAGAGAAGAAGGGAAATAGGGGGTTGGGGGTGATGATGTTGGGTTTGCCAAAACTGCCATCCAAACTGCTAACCTTATTTGCACTAGTTTTAAGAGTTGACGGACAAGCCATATCTGGTATTGCGGTTTAGGAACGAATTTTACACTCGACGATAAATTAAGAGATCTAAAGTGAACTTATTCCTTCTCCAAATCGGATAAACCGAGGGACGCTACCACCAAGTGGCCCATCCGCCATATCCGGGCCATGATCCCAAAGCCCAACAACTAACGGAACCGTATACGTCACCCACGCCGTCCACCTGATCGCCACATCGCGCGAGGGCGATGCACCGTGGGATCCACATGAACAGCACAGGCGCACAGCAATAACTCCATCCGAGTTTACTGCTACCCCCACGGTGACGCAACGCCTCTCAGGCTCTCCGTGTCCGTCCGTCCCAACGGTCTCGCAGTAAATAGACCCGGAGCAGCGGTACACTGGCACGGAGCAGCAGCGCAGGCTGCGCTGCTAGTGCTCGTCCCCCGTCCCGCGCGAGCAACGGTCCGCTCGGTCGCGATCTCGCGGAGGCCGTGTAGCCGACCGGCCGCGTGCATCGGCGGGCTGAATACGTACGCGAACGCGAGGCGACCCGGAATTCGCCGCGCTCTCTCTCTCGCGCGCGGTCGGTGATCCCGCCGGCGCGCTCCCCGGGCAGAGAGGGAAAACAAAAAACAAAGAAAAGCGGAGACGCCACGACGCCAACTTTAACGAACCCCAACGAACGATAAAGCCGCCCCAACCGCTGCCCAAGCGCCAAAAAAATAATAATAATAATACACACACATACTGACACATACACAGTAACACAGAGAGGAGAGTGAGAGAGAGTCTCTGCTTCCGGTGAGTCAAAGCTCCCGGCGCGGCCGGCGGGAACGGCGAGCGGCGACCGAGCATGAGGGAGCAGGAGGAGGGTGGCCTGCAGGCGGCGGGGCGCCGGGGTGGGGTTGTCAGGGCGCTGCTCGGCCTCGGCGCGATCGCGGAGGGCGCCGCCGCCGCCGAGGGGGGATTGCCGAGGAAGGCGGGGGCGGGGGACGGCGGCGGCGAGGAGAGGAAGGCGGTGGTGAGGGTGGTGGCGGCCGACATGCCGCCCGCGCTGCAGCGGCGCGCGTTCCGCTGCGCCCGCGACGAGCTCGCCGGGATGCCGCGCTCCCCGCGGCGGCTCGAGCCCAAGCGCCTCGCCCTCGCCCTCAAGAAGGTTAGTATAGTACATTTCTTAGCCGGTGTACTTACCTTGCGTAAGTACCAGAACTCCATTACTGTACCTGCAAATTGGTTGTAGAGTTAGCTTGCGTATCTGGAAGAACAGGGCCCTCGAGTAGTCAGTTTGCTCCCAAAGATGCATTAGCCAATGGAATTAACTGATTAATCATTTGTCCGCTGCTGTTTTTCTCCACTTGTTCATTAGATTACCTGAGACTGTTCTTCAGTGAGGACAGAATCTTCCTTGCCATGACTAATTAAGCTTCCGATAGTAGGTGCTTAACTGATCGCGTCGAGCAGTGTTGGTTCTTGGAGTAAATGCATTCGCACAATGCTTGCACATGCTTCTCACGGCAACGCAGTCATAACTGATGTACCAGTAGCACGTATCCTTTGTCGGGGCCTTATTACTGGCTTACCGTGATAAGGATTTAAGATGTTTGTCAAGTGCATTCATGTCCATGCTGATTGATCACCCCATTTGGTTGTTGCGTAAATGATGATTTTGGTAGCCCCTGTAGGCTGTAGCTATCTTCATGCACCTGAAACCCAAATTGGCCTGTTGTTTGTCATGGCAAAACTGGAAGGGTCAGAGAATCATAGGCAGCTCAAGTATCAGTTTCTGAACACCTAAGCAGTAGGGTCAAGCTGAATGAAACTTTGGCTCTTCGTTGTGGGTGTGCTAAGATTTCCTCATGCAATCTAGCATGTACTCCTAACTACCATTGCTAGCATTAATACGTTGCGCAATCAGGTGGTCATATCATCTGGTTGTCGATCTGTCATTGACTCTTTGTCTTGTGCAAAAGGAATTGCAAGTTTGAGCATGGGAATGCATCACTCGATTATGACCCTGTTTAGTTCCCACGCAAAAACTTTTCACCCTGTCATATCGAATGTTTGGACACATGCATGGAGTATTAAATATAGATAAAAAAATAATTACACAGGTTGCGTGTAAATTGCAATACGAATCTTTTAAGCCTAATTGCTCCATGATTTGACAATGTGGTGCTACAATAAATATTGTCTAATGACGGATTAATTAGGCTTAATAAATTCGTCTCGCAGTTTACATGTGAAATCTGTAATTTGTTTTGTTATTAATCTACGTTTAATACTTTAAATGTGTGTCCGTATATTCGATGTGTCACGCCAAAACTTTTCACCCCTGGATCTAAACACAGCCTATAGAACTTTAATTTGCATATCTTGGTAAAGTTTTGTCTGCCACTCATAAATATTCAGTTCTTGCCCAATGTGAGAATAACGTCCAAATTCTATCTGTACCTTGGATAAGGGATCTAACAGAACCGAATGTTTTACATAGGACGTGTTATTAGCTATTTAGCTTATTGGCTTAGTTTGACCATGCTGACCAGTAGGCAAAACATTTTATTTTTCATCCTGCAATTCTAGTTGGACCTAACTAACCCTAAAATCTTCTCCGCGTGCCTGAATCCTGCACAATCTCCAACCAATCAGCAACCAAATCTGGGACCATTCCACAATTTTTTTGGTCCATGCTTATCAAGCAACCGCACTTCCTATTATTTGTCCACAAATTCTATAACTCGTCATTTTGTCCATGTTCATCTACTTCCATATGCAATACTATATAAATGATGGGAGCTTATCCTTCGCTGCAGGAGTTTGACACTGCTTATGGACCAGCTTGGCACTGCATCGTAGGGACGAGTTTCGGTTCATATGTCACCCATGCCCGGGGTGGATTCTTGTACTTTTCCGTTGATAAGGTCTATATACTGTTGTTCAGGACGGCCGTGGAGCCCCAACCGCATTGTGAAGATCAGACAGTTAGTTCATGAATTTATGCTGTGAAAACATCCCAAATGCAGTTGTCCAGCTACGCCAAGACCTTGTGCATTGCATGAATGGGGACTCCTTTTTGGCGCTTATATATATGGTTCTAATGTCAAAAAATATTTCGAGTGGCTAGTGTGATTCTGTTAGTTTATGGCTGAATGCGGTGTACCTTAGATTTCTGTCATTTCTGTCGCCCCTTGTAGATGGTCAGATAGGAACAGAAGCTGGCCAGGGAGCACAAATGGGTGTATATTGTCATGCAATCCCTCAGAATGCAGTGAATCAGATGAAAGTTTGTGACTCATTTTCTGTTGTTCAAGGCAAGAATTGCTGACTGTGTTAATACCAGGATATTTTATTGGTGTTCACTTTTCACACAAAACACAGCTCACCATATAAACCATATCAGCATTAGCAAATGCATCTCGAACTGCTGTAAGAAACATCCATGCCTCATACAAAGAAGAATTTGGTAAATGATAGCGAGCATATGGTACAAACAATACAGACCTAGACAAATTCTGTTTGAGCTAATTTCCTGCCTTCCTGGTATATACATGAGTAAAACTGTGAACCTCTGGTCAGACAAACTGGAGCTTGAGGTGACAATAGAAACGTCTTTGTTCAGACGACCATTTCGGCCTCTCTCAAACTTGTTGGAATTCCTATATCTAGTCTCATTGTGGCTTTGTACTTCTCCGGCACCTTTGCACCAGCCTGAACACATATCTCCACAATCGCAGGTGCCTGCCCATAGAAACTCTTTAGATCCCTCTGCAAGTCCTCCCCGGATTCTGGCAGGTGCCACACATATCTAGGAGGTATTAAGTCATCGAGCACTGCTGCTTGCCATCCATGCTGCCCATTCCTCTGCTGGTGTTTGAAGGCACCACAATTCCGTGCTTTGTGGCCACTTGCTCCTATATGAACCTCTGGGCAGTATCCACAAACCCGCACCGCGTAGCCCTTCATAAGCTTCAAGGCACCATCCCTGACTACCTCCCATGCTTCGAGTGTTTCCTCAGCTAGAGCAACAATCTCCTCTGGGCTTGCTGGGGCAATAATCTCGTTATCATTTAGTTCTTCAAGAATTGGATGCTCAAGTTTGTAAGGCTCTGGGTCTGGTAGGTCATCCTCATTTGCATCAACAAACTCGTTCTTTCCGATTTTAATAATGGGCTTTCTTCGCCGCTTTGTGGGGTATTCAGGAAGATTAACTCCAGCTTGAATGCATAACTCCACAAGAGCAGGGATGCGAGGTACAGCAAACCTCTGATCATGAGGGATACGCTTCCCTAAGCGATCCTCTAGATGGTAGGCTTCAACCGGCACAAAAACAGCTTCAACCAAAGTACCTCCCCAGTCATGTTGCCCCCTACGTTTATCTGAAGACATTCCTTTGCATGTTCGGAAAGGGTGTCCAACAGATCCAACATGTATCTCACTGCAATGTCTGCAAGATAAACACACATTATTTCCTCCCACAAAATAGAAGTGCACAATCTTCATTGAAAGAGGTGCTTGTCGGTGAACTGAAAAGTGCATATTAACATAAAACAATTAAAAGGTACACAATTGTCAAAATTACAAACTCAAAATGATGGATCATGGAACATGGTACTACCAAGTAGAAACAGTACTAGGATCATGAGCATGATGGCCTCATCATAAGCCAAAATAGTCAGAAAGTTTATCCAAGGCGGTCGTGAGATTTAAATTACGCTAAACAGAAACTATAGTCAAAATAATTGCAGATATTCCAAAATGCAGACTTTTATAAAGCAAAATGGAAGCTTATCTGGAACTAATAATATCTAAACTTATAGAAATGCATGTACTCAATGCGAACAATTAATGAGTTCTTGGAACAGATACTGTTTCATAGCTTCAATCAATAATCAGATAAAATACAACTATGAATAATAGAGGAGTCACCACAGATGCCATGCAGTTCATTTTGGACTTGATGCTTGAATGATCTATGTCTAATAGAAAGCCTCATTAGAGAATTGGCACAATACATCGATTAAGCAGCTGAATATCTTCATAATTTATGCCATATACAAATACAAGTCAGCAAATTGATATATAATGAAGTTTCTTACATCTTGTTTTATAGAATAATTTCTACTTCCTTATTGTTCTATGCGTTGTATGCATCCCAATGTGTTGTGTGGTTTATGTCAAGATGGAAGTACAATTCTGTTGTCCAATGCATGTGGAATTAACACAAACAAGATCTGTGTATATAATGATCAGGATGGGATGGAACAGGAGAATTACTTGCATCCTTTCACTGGAATTACTTTCATAAGCCTCTTCAAGTTGTTGATCAGCAAAATTCTTGCATTATACACCTTGTATGCAACTGGTATCAGTCTTTTGATCAGCATCCCATTTTTTGGAGGTGGTAAAGATCGTTTGGGTTTCCCTTCAGCTTTCTTTGCCCTCTCTTTTGCTCGGCGTCTTAACTCCAATACTGGTATTGGAAATGGTTTCTTCTCTCTTTTCGAGTAATTAGGTGGAAAATCAGCATTTTGAACATGTTCATTTGTGATGATGATGGTTCTAGAGCAAGGTTGGGAGATACTTGAAGCAGGTGCTCTGAAAAATATAAGGAAAAAAGACATTAAATGGAAATAATCAGGACATAAGATCCTAGAGGTAGTATCTATAACACATTCAATTTCCACTAAACCAACTCTACTAAACCCTAGAATGAAATATCACCCCGCATCAAGATCACAGCTATTACTTAAAAAGTTACATTTTTACAAAATGGAATGTCAACTCAACAAAATTCACTAGAGATAGTCCTAAGTAGAAAAAAAAATTGTGGTCTGCTTGTGACCAGATGAATTAACAACAGAGATTGTTGACAAAAAGGGAGTTGGACAAAGTGATTGATTTCTGACATGGGCTAGCAAACCAAGCATATTTGCATTCTTTGACAAGCATGGCAGTTTATATTTCCAGATGTTCAGGATATCGCTGTGACAAAGCGCAAACAGCCCATTCTGTCACCTGACAGATGTCTTAACTTTCACGCTTCTTTTACCACATCAAGTGACACTTCTAAAACAACAGGTACATATCTCGCTGGTGTTAGTTTGTGGAGAGCAATGGGAACCAATACATATTGTCCAACCATCTTCCATTGCCCACTACCACGACACAGTTACTATGAATTCGTCCGAGTAGCAGCAATCTAACAACTGAACGTTTTCAAACGTTGCCATAGTTCATGGAGCAGATAGGTGAACCAACCTGAATCGACCACCGCGTCCACCCGCACCCTTGGCAATCCCTGCAACCGCATCCGGATACTCCCTGACCTGTACCAAGCAGCCACTAGAATCAAACAACAGAGCCGAACGGTAACGCCACCTAGGCTAGCCTCACGATTACCCAGCTGTATAACTACTGTGGTCAGACAGCAGTTGCTCCTCTCGGAAGAAGGGGAACGGGGAAACGGGCCTACCTGGATGCGGGGAGCGGACCACCGGAGGCCGACGAAGCAGCGGAGAGGCGGGAGGCGGGAGGAGCAGGTCGGCGGAGCGAGGAGAGGGTAGGGGGAGGACGTGGATGGCATCATCGCCAGAGCTCCTGTCATGGCGGCGAGCCCGCCGTGTCGCCACCGGAGTGAGGCGGAGGCCTCGCCGCCTTGGTTTCCCTCTCCTCCGTGTCTCTTTCACCTCTCTCCCTATCCTCGCACGCGACGGGGGGCTCTCTTGCTTTCCAGATTTTTTATCGGCCTTCGTGTGTCGGAAATTTTCGGTCCATCTCATCTGTTAGAACTGGGAAATAATGGCCCAAAATAGTCCAAGGCCGATCTGTCTGGCCGTGTATGGGAGTTATAGGGGCCGTAATGGGCTGCTGCGTACTGGATTATTAGCCCAAAGAAAACCAGGCATTGCCCCAGCCCAGGTCAGGCTCACGCTGGGTATGAGATGCTAGCTTCTACTAGTAAAGGAGTTTCACGCAATCTCCTGAAGATGAAGATGAAGTGTTTCACACAAAACGAGATGATAATAACGTGAGATTAATTGAGTTTTAATTATTACAAACTTAAAAAATAGATTAATCTTATAATTTAGAATAATTTTCATATAGAAAGTTTTCGCACGAAACACACCGTTTAGCAGTTTGAAAAGCGTGCCACGAGTATCCAAAATTTAATTCAACTTTTGTTGGAGAAAAGAACAGTGCCTAAATTTGAAATCTATTACTTCGATCAAATTATTAAGTACAGCTTTAATACCAAATTTACCATAAATGTTTAAGGTTTGCAAAACTATAGATTTAATAATAATGTTATCACAAACTATATGTTTTAGAATTTAATTCACCATCACTAATGTTATGTTAGAGTTATAAACATCTAAAATTTGTTATTAAACTGACACCTAGACATATAGTTATGTGTTGATTTGATTACTAAATTTGTAATTTTGCGACACTCCAGCTTAATTATATAGTTTGTAGTATTAAGTTTGATATTAAATCGGTAAGTTTCATTTTGAATATATAGTGTTCTGTAATAGTTTAATTAAAAAATGAGAACTCTTAAAAATTCTATAGTTTGGGGAAATTTATTCAGAGAAAAAGGGAAACCTCTTGTTCAGTCATATGGTCTATTTGATTGCAAAGGTCGCTGATACCCTTCCCACTACCGATTTAAACCGTCAAAGCTGCTCTATAGAGCAAAGAGAGCCAAGTTCTTCAACCACCTCAGCTACCACACATGCCAATTCCTCTCTGAATTCGTTCTTCAGATGGCCACACGAATAGATATATGTTGCACGGTTCATCACTGCACTCAAGCTGACAAGCTGGGAAACTTGAAACGGTGCGCTTAGATTAACCCAAACTTGTAGAGAATGGCACGACTTAACCACGCCACCGCGTACATCCGCGCGCTATAAAAATCCGTGCGTGCCACCTCGTCATGCAACACAAGCACAGCATCAGCACAAGTGCACAACACATTCACAGAGGCGCAGATACTGATAAGCCGAAGCAACAATGGCAGCTCAAGCTCTCGCCGCCGTCGTGGCCATTGCCGTGCTCGCCCAATCAGCCGCCGCCGCCGCGGCGCCGCCACCGGCCAAAGGCCCGGTGACATACGTGTTCGGCGACTCGATGTCGGACGTGGGGAACAACAACTACTTCCCGCTCTCCCTCGCCAAGTCCAACTACCCCTGGTACGGCATCGACTACCCCAACGGCGTCGCCACCGGGAGGTTCACCAATGGAAGAACCATCGGAGACTACATGGGTAAATGCAAAACCAATTCAACTTGCTAGATAACTAGCTGATGATCCACACGCGCATTCGACCTGATTCAGTATTTCGGTTGATGCAGCTGACAAGTTCGGCGTCCCGTCCCCGCCGCCGTTCCTGTCGCTGTCAATGGTCTACGACGACGTCCTCGGCGGCGTCAACTTCGCGTCCGGCGGCGCCGGCATTCTGAACGAGACGGGCGTCTACTTTGTAAGTCGCATATATCGCATCATCGTTATGCTTTACGATTTGTTACTTTTGTTGGCACTGTTTGTTGAACGTGGCGTGCCGATTTGCAGGTTCAGTACTTCTCATTCGACCAGCAGATATCGTGCTTCGAGATGGTCAAGAAGGCGATGATCGCCAAGATCGGCAAGGAGGCCGCCGAGGTTGCCGTCAATGCGGCGCTGTTCCAAATTGGACTTGGTACAATATTTTCCTCTCGTGAATCGATCGGCCTTTTGAGTTTTGACCGCATTTGATCAGATAGTTAGCTGGATTTTTAGCCGTTAAATGACGTGAAATACACTGCTGTTTCTGAAGGGAGCAACGACTACATCAACAACTTCTTGCAGCCGTTCATGGCGGACGGCCAGACGTACACGCACGACACGTTCATCCGCCTCCTCATCACCACTCTGGACCGGCAACTAAAGGCAGAACACCCACCAATCTCGCCGTGACAGTGACCCCCCCATTAGCCAATTTTAAAGAGGTGGCCTGATATATCGTCCATGGCGGTGGTTGAATTGTTCGTTTTTGCAGAGGCTGTACGGGCTCGGCGCGAGGAAGGTGGTGTTCAACTCGCTGCCGCCGCTGGGCTGCATCCCGTCGCAGCGCGTCCACTCCGGCAACGGCAAGTGCCTGGACCACGTGAACGGCTACGCCGTGGAGTTCAACGCGGCCGCCAAGAAGCTGCTCGACGGCATGAACGCCAAGCTGCCCGGCGCGCGGATGGCGCTCGCCGACTGCTACTCCGTCGTCATGGAGCTCATCGTCCACCCCGAAAAACACGGTAATTAATCAATCAATCAATCAATCAACGCAAACTTCCGGCGCGTGTCGGCGGGCGTGTCTCACCGTTGGCGATGCGTGTGTGCGTGTGTGTGTGTGCAGGGTTCACGACGGCGCACACGTCGTGCTGCAACGTGGACACGACGGTGGGGGGCCTGTGCCTGCCGAACTCGCGGCCCTGCAGCGACCGCAAGGCGTTCGTCTTCTGGGACGCGTACCACACCTCCGACGCCGCCAACCGGGTCATCGCCGACCTCCTCTGGGACGCCATGCCGAGCGCCGGGAGCGGGGGCGCCGCCACCACCCCTCTCGCCGCGTCGCCGGCGCCGTCGCCGTCTCGGGCGCCTTAGTTCACCGATCACGACGTACTGTAGTGTGTCAATTGTGATGTGTACTTTTGTAGCGCCGTACGTGCTCGTTCGCGCGGATTGTTCTTGGAAGCGCCGGTGCTGGGTACTAGTAGCTGGTCGAATTCACAAAATTCGTTCAAATTATGTTTTTGGGACCATCCCAATGGGACATATCAGATGTGTGATATGTAGGATCATCCTTGAGTTCAATATACTCCAATATTTGTAAGAGTCCTAGCATCGATGCTTTTCGTTTTATCACTCAAAGCCAAAAATTAAAATTTTAAATTTAATTTCATAGTAGTTTTTTTTATCGTGATTTATTTTCAGCATTGGTTTTTATTCAATCTCTTCTCTATCTCTATTATTATAAAAATTAAAGATGTTTTTGCCGGTATTTTGGTACGTCATCCGTATTTGAGTCGGTTTTTAAGTTCGTTCGTTTTTGGAAATACATATCCGTATTTGAGTTGGATTTTAACCTTGTTTCCTTTTGGAAGTATAGAAGGAATCGTATAAAAAATCTTTTGAAAAAACTCGCATGCTAACTTGAGATGAAATACAGACTCCTAATTGCAGCTCATGATTTTTTTTAAACAATAAATATCAAAGTGAATTCCCACATTGAATTTTACCTTAGCTAAATTGTGTAACAATAATAAAATTAAAATAACATTTACTTGTTGCAATGTACGTGTATTTTTTCTAGTAAGGACAAATATATTAAAGTTTTAATATAAAATCATCACGACTTATAATTAGCTGTACGTAAAATAATGAGACCAAGCATGATACTACCTATTCCACCTACGTTAAAGAAAAAAGAAATGAAAGGAGTATATAACCGGATGGTATTTGGTAGCTTTCGATTATATGGCCACTAATTTGAACCACAAATATACCAGAGAACATGTTTTTGTTCTGTTTCAATTTCAATTTTTCGACCCAAGAGAAAGGTAGAATGCATACCAGCGGTCTGGATCCGTCTCCATGCAGCTGAGACTACACATCCCACCGTCCGTTGATCTGTTCCCTTTCCCCCAAACTGCAAGAGCTCATCAGGTCAGGTCCGCCACACTCCTAAACCCTCGGTCGGAGCAAGCCCACCGCACCACTCCAGTCGCCGGCGACGGAAGCGGCGCATCGGCGATGGACGGGGCGCACGGGCAGAGGCAGCCGATGTCTCCGGCGATCTCTGCTTCGGCGGTGCTCCCGCAGCAGCGGCAGATGCAGCTCCACCACCACCACCACCACCCGGCGCGGTCGTCCATCGCCGATCTCTTCACCCTATACCTCGGCGTGCGTGCCTTGTCTCTCCTCCCCAATCTCTAACCGTGGTGCACTTGTGAACGCTAGCTCAGACCCTGGGTTTCTGTGATTTGCAGATGAACTCGAAGCAGCGGGTCGAGGATCCAACTAGGGAGACCTCGTAAGTTTGATTTCCCACTTGTTGGACTTCTAATTGGGGATTACTTTTTAGGGCTAGCTGGATTGCTCGAGGGCTCGAGCACATGAAACATTATGATAGGTTAGGTCGGATTATTTTGTCCTTGTCGTTCGCGCTTTGTTCAACTTTACCTTTGAAGGCGATGGCTTCTGCAATGTCCGGAGATTTTTTTTTTGAAAGGAATTCTGGAATATCCGGAGATTATTGCCGCAATTTTGGAACTAGTGTGCTGTACTCTAGCGGTTTTTCGTGCCTTGTTCATTTTGATATATGGTAGTTTTTGGACAAAATTTGATATGGTAGTTTGACGATGGAAGTCAATTCAGCAAGCTTTTCTAAAACTGTAATGCATAATGGGCATTGAATTTCCTCAGGAACAAGTTGCAGAAGAGAGTAACTGCTATGAACAGAGATCTGCCTCCCCGAGATGAGCAATTCATTTCGGATTTTGAGCAGTTGCACATGCAGTTCCCAGTAAGCAGAATCATTACGCAAGTACTTTTGTTTATGTCATGAGAACAGAACAAATTTATTATTTGATTTGCATGTTTCTTCAGGACCAAGAGCAGCTGCAGGCAGTTACGGAATCAGTTCTCATCTCATTTGTCCTGCAGTGTAGTAGCCACGCCCCACAATCTGAGTTCTTGCTCTTTGCCACACGTTGCCTGTGTGCTCGAGGCCACCTTCGATGGGACAGTCTCCTTCCTTCTCTACTTAATGTAGTTTCCTCCGTGGAGGTACCAATGGGGCAAGGGGTTTCTGTGACTACTGGTGGCCCGGCAACATCTTCTTCATCAGCTATTGCAGTGCCAAATGCCCCAAGCTTTCACCCTTCAAATCCCACATCTCCATTGTCAGCAATGAACACTATAGGATCTCCCACTCAATCTGGTATCGACCAACCCATAGGTGCAAATGTCTCACCCATTAAGGGAGCAGAATTCTCTAGCCCTGGACAGCTTGGTCTGACAGCTAGAGGTGACCAGTCTCGCAGGGGAGCAGAAATTAGTTATCTGCATCACTTATCCTGTAGAATTATTCTAGCAGGGCTGGAGTCTGATTTGAAGCCAGCCACCCATGCTGTGATATTCCAGCATATGGTAAATTGGCTTGTTAATTGGGACCAGCGACCGCATGGTGTGGACCAAGCTGATGCATTGCAATTGCAAACCTTGAGGCTTGAAAGACCTTTGCATGAATGGATGCACCTATGCTTAGATGTGATATGGATTCTAGTTAATGAAGATAAATGTCGTGTTCCATTCTACGAGCTTGTTCGCAGCAACTTGCAGTTTCTCGAAAATATTCCTGACGATGAAGCACTAGTTAGTATTATTATGGAGATCCATAGGAGGAGGGACATGGTATGTATGCACATGCAGATGTTGGATCAACACCTTCATTGCCCAACATTTGCAACTCATCGGTTCTTGTCGCAATCATACCCAAGCATAGCTGGTGAATCTGTTGCTAATTTGCGTTATTCTCCCATTACTTATCCAAGTGTATTGGGAGAGCCGCTACACGGAGAGGTGATATTACTTTTCCCCCTCTTTACCCACCTCTCCCCTTTTAAGTTTGCCATTGAACCTGTATGCATTGACTTTGTACTTGTGGACTGAAGCTCAATTTTTATGTTCATCCGATATGCTCTGCACATATTTTGACTGCATAGAGATATTGCAGTATTCTTTGACCACATTGGGGCTACGAGCCTACGAGATTGAAATTAGTGTCGCAAAATGGCTGGAATATCCTTGCAAACTCTTTAGGATTGTTGTAGTATCCTCTAACATTAACAGGGGATGACATGCTAACACATTTTGTTTGAGTGATCATGAATAATTTCACAGGAGGGAGAAATAAACGGAAAAATCGCAAAGCATCATAACATGCAGAGGCAAAATATATTTTGCAATTAAATTTCAACACACCGCATGTTTTTCAAGGATGGATCAGGAAAATTGGCAGGAAATGAATAGATAATTGAGCTATTAGTTACTAATGTTGGTTTGGGTAGGATCTGAAATCTGATATAACTTTGTTGTTTAGGATCTTGCAAACTCCATTCCTAAAGGGGGTTTAGACTGGGAACGTGCTTTGCGTTGCTTGAGGCATGCACTCCGCACAACTCCGTCACCAGACTGGTGGAGGCGTGTTCTTCTTGTTGCTCCTTGTTATAGACAACATCCTCAACAATCATCAACGCCAGGAGCTGTTTTCTCACCTGATATGATCGGTGAGGCAGTTGCTGACAGGACAATTGAACTACTGAGGCTCACGAACTCAGGTTAGAATTTGAAAGTTAACCATTTACCTTGTCAATATAATAAAGTTCCTTTTTCAAGTGGACAGCTGATGGGAATATAAATTTCAAATGTTCTATTGATGCACCCTTTTCACTATTTTTTCTTTTAGAACGTGAAACTTTTACCTCAAGAAATTAAATTTGCTTACCATTATTGTCAGATATGTGCAAGTCTTTGGTAACTGTCTGTTGCCTATATTCATTCTTTCTTTTTTATGCTGTTGCAGAGACTCAGTGCTGGCAAGATTGGCTTTTATTTGCTGACATTTTTTTCTTTCTGATGAAAAGTGGCTGTATTGATTTTCTTGATTTCGTGGACAAGCTTGCATCTCGAGTAACAAATAGTGATCAACAGATTCTTCGCAGTAATCATGTCACTTGGTTACTCGCACAGATTATCCGCATTGAGATTGTGATGAACACCCTTAGTTCGGACCCAAGGAAGGTGATGTCTCTTTCTAAGATCATCTGCAAACACCTCTTTCTTTTGGTGAATCATATTCAATTGATTAGTTGATGACATGATTTTGGTACCAAAAAAAGATTTCCTCATGAAAATATTCAGAGTGCTTTATTTTGTTTCGTGCTCATCTTTTGGGAACTGCAAGGACTAACAAGTAATAACAGCGATCGACAAACTCAGCTAAACTAATCTCACATCCAATTGCTATAAAACTTTAAATACATACAAACTTTTGGTAATACTTCTAATGTTTCCTTTCATGATGTCTTGTGGTTGTCTTAATTTACCGTCTATAACTCTATATACCATTCTGGTATTTCTTCTGTTACCAGGTTGAAACTACAAGGAAGATAATTTCGTTCCACAAAGAAGACAAGAGCCTTGATCCAAATAATATCAGTCCTCAAAGTATTCTTCTTGATTTCATAAGTAGCAGCCAAACTTTGCGGATTTGGTCTTTCAACACTTCAATTAGAGAGCATTTGAACAGTGATCAGCTTCAGAAAGGCAAACAGATAGATGAGTGGTGGAGACAAATGACAAAAGGTACTTGGTACTTGTCCTTATTCATGGAATATGAAAGTATCACTATGCTTTTGATATAAAATATTGCCTGGTAGATCTAGAATTCATGGAAAAGAAATTCTCCGGTAGATTCTGGGTAGGCAATATGGACTGATTAAGTGTAGAAAATTCTACATAGTAACACCACAACTCATAATTCAGGAGGTGGATACATTTTCTTGAAAAGAGAGATATTTGGCTGTAAACCATTACTGTTATTTTCAATTTTGTCCCCATTCATGTATCTGTAATAAAGCTTTGTTACTGTTTCCCTTGCAATAATAGCTTCTGGGGAGAGGATGATAGATTTTACGAGCTTGGATGAGCGGGCGATGGGCATGTTTTGGGTTCTCTCCTTCACCATGGCACAACCAGCATGTGAAGCAGTCATGAACTGGTTTACATCAGTAGGAGTAGCAGATTTAATTCAGGGACCCAATTTGCAGCCAAATGAAAGAATGACAATGATGCGTGAAACTTATCCACTGTCTATGTCATTGCTTTCTGGGTTGTCTATCAATCTATGTTTGAAACTTGCTTTCCAGCTTGAAGAGACCATATTTCTTGGCCAGGTAAAAACACTGTTGCTGCTTATCTTTATTATTATTTTTTTAACTCTGCTCTTTATGGTTTGGAGACCAGTGCTCATGTGCCTTTAATTATTACTGAAAAACATCAGAATCAATATGTTACAATCTATCCTGAGTAAAAATAAAATGACAAGCAATTCATATGTTTATCTTTTATCTATTAAGATCTCCTGGCATAATAGCTCATGTTAATGAACTTAGCTGTAATATATGAATGATTTATAACTTTATATGTTAATGGTATATGACCAGCTCATCATTTTTGATCTTCGGAATGACTTTGCTAGAAGTGCCCATATAATCACAACTATATGTTCTTCTGTTGACGTACTAATGTCCATCTCTCTTTACCATACACTAATTTTCTTACATAATTCTTCTGTTCTTTGGTAGAATGTTCCTAGCATTGCTATAGTGGAAACCTATGTTAGACTGCTGCTTATAACCCCTCATTCATTGTTCCGCCCGCATTTTACGGTAAGTCTTGCCTCCTGTTGTAATCTGTAGTATTCATGTGAAGTTTATGGCTTTATGCTACCTTGTGATTAACAGTTGATTATTCATTTGCTCTGATTTCTAAATTAACTTTCTGCAATTGTAAGCATAATTCAGTTTCCTCAATAACATGCAATTCATATTCCTTTTTAAACTCTGATGTCTTCCTATGGTTTTATTAAACCTTGCAGACATTAACACAAAGATCTCCATCTATCCTGAGCAAATCTGGTGTGTCTCTGCTCCTACTTGAGATACTGAATTACAGGCTACTTCCTCTATACAGGTAATTTAAGTAATTTAATATTTGTTTTCTGCTATTTGCCTTGAAAGCCTTTTCTTATCATGCATATCCACAATTGGAATGTCTGACCTCAGCAAAAAAGGTTTGATGATCATTTAGAAAAAATCTTAGTGTTTTGTTCCATTTATTGTTTATATTATGGTGCACCTTTTGGTTTACATCTATGTGAATTTCTTCTGCTCAGGTATCATGGGAAAAGCAAGGCATTGATGTATGATGTTACAAAGATAATATCAATGATTAAAGTCAAACGTGGAGAGCATCGTCTTTTTAGATTAGCAGAAAATTTGTGCATGAATTTGATTCTCTCACTAAGAGACTTCTTTTTGGTGAAAAAAGAATTGAAGGTAACCTGCTTCATCTGGAAATTTCACCTGTTACTAAATTCGCATAAAGTGAACTTCTTTATTTATGTAAATGTAGGGTCCAACTGAGTTTACTGAAACACTTAACCGCATAACGATAATAAGCCTTGCTATCACCATGAAGACACGTGGAATTGCTGAGGTCGAACATATAATTCATCTTCAACCATTATTAGAGCAAATTATGGCAACGAGCCAGCATACATGGTCAGAGAAGACTCTAAGATATTTTCCTCCCCTTATTCGAGATTTTTTAATGGGGAGGATGGATAAGAGAGGCCAAGCTATCCAAGCATGGCAGCAGGTACTATTATCTTATCTTTTGGATTGAGTACTTGGTGTCTTGGCCATTTATATGCTCCTTTTGACTATTATATGGAGTTCATATACATTCGTCGAATAACAATTTAGGGAGTTTATAGTTCTTTTGTATCAGTTGTTGCCAAATCATGCTGCTGTTAGTTGATTTTTTTAAAACCATGTAATCACTCTTTTATAAGCAGTCTATTGATGGAGAATGTACTGATGGATTTTACACTTTTTTATGTACTATTACTATTACAAACGGCAATGAATTCTTTCACCTCTAGAATGGTATTAGCTGGCTAAGATAAAAATTGCAGTCTTGTTTTGAAATAGGCTTAGATTAGCAGTATAGCAAGACTAGTTTTAGAAAATTGTAAGATCTCGAAAAGTCTTGAATTTCCAAGCCAGTACTATTTCTGGTGTCCTTTAGTTGCTATAACATGCTTATTAAATGAAATGCTTTTCTAGGGCAAAATATTCCTTACCTTTTATGCTTGATGATTTATCTTCCATTGCAGGCTGAGACAACTGTTATTAATCAATGTAATCAGCTACTCTCACCATCTGCTGAGCCAACCTATGTTATGACATATTTAAGTCACAGTTTCCCTCAGCATCGTCAATATCTTTGTGCTGGTGCTTGGATGCTGATGAACGGACATCTAGAGATCAACAGTGCAAATCTTGTATGATTTCTAATTAGCAATTATATTGACATAAAAGATTCTCTCTATGTATATATGTCTTTTTAATCTTACTGCAGGCCCGTGTTTTGAGAGAGTTTTCACCCGAAGAAGTTACAGCAAATATTTATACAATGGTTGATGTTCTTCTGCATCATATCCAACTTGAGCTGCAAAGAGGGCATCAAATTCAGGTGTTCTGCCTTTTTTTTTCTTTTCTTATTCGGTGTGCTAAAAACACTCTTGTTGGCTGTTTGTTTATGTGGGCTACACTTATTCAGTAGCCAATATGCATTCTTTTTCTGATAATGCAGGACTTACTCTCTAAAGCAATTACGAATCTTGCTTTCTTTATCTGGACACATGAGTTACTTCCATTGGACATTCTTCTGTTAGCTCTTATTGATAGAGATGATGATCCTTATGCTTTACGCCTTGTGGTAAGTCCTAAAAGTTTTCAGGGTTACATGCCATATATTTGAAGTCATGTAAATCTCCATAACGATTCTTTACTTTTTTGCTAACTATTCCCAACTGTTAGATGCTGTCTGCAAATGTTCAACAGCTCTTCTTGGCCATGTATTACAATTTGCAAGCCACTAGTTAGATCTTTCTTGCTAGTTATGAAACTACTTGATATGATTATATCTGCACTATTGTGAACCATGATAAAGAGTGAAGCTAATGGAAATGTTATATGCATGCTAATAGAACCATGACAAAGAGCGGTACAACTGTGATTTTACTAATATACCTTGTATTTCATCTAAACAATGCCTTGTATTGGACTACTAGTTTTCTACGATAGCTGCATATATGTTGTTACTTGTATTTTGGTAATTATATGCATATTACTTCAAAATTTAATATATTACTGGTTGCTTCAGCTATTAATTGACAGATTTGGGCATTCTTTAATTTATAAATGTAACATCACAGATAAATCTCCTTGAAAGACCGGAACTTCAGCAAAGAATTAAAGCATTCTGCACTTCGCGTTCTCCAGAGCATTGGCTAAAAAATCAGCCTCCAAAAAGAGTAGAACTTCAGAAAGCCCTCGGTAACCATCTCTCAGGGAAAGAACGGTAATTTCAATCTTCTAATTCTTCCAAATTTGTTTAAATGTTCTTTTAGCACATTGATAAAAATTATGCCAATTACTGCATATGTCAATCATGAAGACTCTATGCATTCTCGATCTTATTTGCCCGCCGAATAGCAATTGCAGTTAGCCTTTTTTTCAATCTGAAAAATATCATTACATATTTGCTTTTCTTTTATGTCTATTCTTTTGTTTGAAAAATCTATAGTACTCACTCCGATCACTTTTACAAGGTGCACATGCACTTCTGAAGTTTTGACTTCAGAACTTCACATATCTTTATCTATACTATTCTAGGAGGCAATGTAGGCAGTGAATCTGCCAGCTCCACCAACTCTATCTATATCTATACTATTCTATGTGCTTTAAAATTACAAAATAATCCAACATATTGGTTTAATCTTATTTCATCTCTAAAATACAAGTTTATCATGTAAAGGCATCTATAGGGATGAATTGTTCTAAAACCTAAAACACATATAATTGTTCCAAACAATGCTAAAACACATATAATTCATATTTACCCGTAGAAAAGCATCGGTATTTAGCTAGTAATTAGTTGCAATTATACATATTCTTAGTGAACTCAAGCTTGTACTGGAATATGCCCCAAGGAGCCAGACATACAAGAGGGTAGCATTTACAGAAGACACCCTACACTATGGGATTAATCAACAATACAACAAGCACATATACTACTTAACACATCCGGCCATCATTTTATTGTTAATAGCAACATAACGCTGAGAGGTTCATGGTCAAATTTAGTCAGAAGATTGGACCAAGTCAAATCGTGCCTTCTAAAAATGAATGGAGCAAGTAGTAACCTCAATTCAAGCCTCTAACTGATATATTATCTTCTGATAATTTCTTGTGTTCTATGTCCGTACAAGCCATTAGGATGCCAGGCTTTGTGGATTTGGAGATATTTGTTTTTTTCAACCATTACACATCTGTCATTGTGCCAATTTGGTTTCAATGGAAGTCATGAAAACTTAGCTTGCTGCCTTACTTTAGCCAATTTGTGTCATTATGCTAATTTGTCTTTTCAATGCAGTTACCCCCCCTTTTTTGATGACATTGCTGCTCGTCTGCTTCTAGTCATCCCGTTGATAATTTATAGGCTTATTGAGAACGATGCCACAGATATCGCAGATAGAGTCCTTGCAGTTTATTCTACCTTTCTGGCCTTCCATCCTCTAAGGTTTACATTTGTGCGTGATATTCTTGCATATTTCTATGGTCATCTTCCATCCAAGTTAATTGTTAGGATCCTCAACGTGCTGGGTGTTAGCACTAAGGTAGACCCTATATACTCTTTGAGTTATTATGGTGCTTCCTCCTGCCCATCTTGGTTAATTCTTTACTAATGTGTGCAATTTATAGACACCTTTCTCAGAATCATTTGCCCAGTATCTAGCGTCATCAAATTCATCTATTTGTCCACCACCGGAATACTTCGCCAACCTTTTGTTTGGCCTTGTTAATAATGTCATACCTCCTTTGAGTTGCAAGTCCAAATCAAACCCATCGGATGCTGCTGGCAGTACAGCACGCACAACTTATAACAAGCCTTATACATCTTCCGCTGGAGGAATCAGTAACTCTGATGGTCAGAGGGCATTTTATCAAAATCAGGATCCTGGATCATATACACAGCTTGTTTTGGAAACAGCAGCCATTGAAATTCTCTCACTTTGTGTGCCAGCTTCTCAAATAGTATCCTCTCTAGTTCAAATAATAGCACATGTACAAGCAATGCTCATACAGTCAAATAGTGGTCATGGAATGTCAGGTGGTTTGGGCCAAAACTCTGGGGTGCCGACTTCTTCAGGTGGGGGAGTTGAACCTGTTGGTGCCAACCGACCAAACACCACAGCAAGTGGAATCAATGCATCTAACTTTGTTTCTAGAAGTGGCTATTCCTGCCAACAATTGTCTGTTCTGATGATTCAAGCTTGTGGTCTGTTGCTGGCACAACTCCCACCAGAATTCCACACACTTCTATATGCAGAAGCAGCCCGGATCATAAAAGATTGTTGGTGGCTTGCTGATAGTTCAAGGCCTGTTAAAGAGCTTGATTCTGCTGTTGGGTATGCACTGTTGGATCCTACTTGGGCTTCTCAAGACAATACATCTACAGCCATAGGTATAAGAACAAAGCTTTGCTGTGTTCTTCACATGTTCGATATTTTGCTTATATAGCTAAACTTTAGCTTATGTATCACAGTTCCCCTTATGTGTATGTTCCACCTTGCTTGCAGGTAACATCGTTGCCCTTCTTCACTCGTTTTTCAGCAATCTTCCACATGAATGGCTTGAATCTACCCATACCGTCATCAAGCATCTTCGGCCAGTCAACTCAGTTGCCATGTTAAGAATTGCTTTCCGCATATTGGGTCCCTTGTTGCCTCGTCTAGCCTTTGCTCGACCTCTGTTCATGAAGGTATTCTTGGTTTGCTTACCACTTCCTGATGGTTAGATTTTTGCATTAATAAATTGGAATTGATTTTGAGTTAACTGCTGGGGACAACTTCGTATGATATTGGCGCTTTGAACTGGATCAATATATGTTTACTTGCAATCAGTAGCTATTACAGGATCGTGCTTTGTCTCTTAACATCTTCAAAATTTTATTTAATTACATCTTTTGGTGGCATAACCTACTAATCGAACACAGAAAAAAAACATTATGTAGTTTTCTGTATTGCTTTGTGTTGTCCTTTTATGCAATTAAGCTAAAAAACGAACTGCAGTTCACTTTTGCTTTATTACTCTATGGTCCATGTACATCCTATTACGAGATTTGTTCATCTTGACCTACACACCACAGTAATTCTATATGAAGAAACTACTGTCTTCCGTTCTCTACTAATTTAGTATATGCTGCTGGGATCTACAGACCTTGGCTTTGCTGTTCAATGTGTTGGGGGATGTATTTGGGAAGAATTCTCAGGCTTCACCTCCTGTGGAGGCATCGGAAATTGCTGACATAATTGACTTCTTGTAAGGCGCACTTCATCTTTTCCGCACTTGTCATCTTCCCTGGCATGCAGTTTGTTTCAGTTCTCCTTCTACACTAATTGTTACTGCATAACTCATTCTGCATTATATTCTCACTGCATCGTTCTCTATATATAGTCTTATAACAGTTATTTTTTTTCTTTGTTGCTAAAATAGGCACCATGCAGTCATGTATGAGGGTCAAGGAGGTCCCGTTCAGAGCACTAGCAAGCCCAAACTAGAGATATTGACGTTATGTGGGAAAGTAATGGAAATTCTGAGGCCAGATGTGCAACATCTTCTATCCCACCTGAAGACTGATCCAAACTCTTCAGTTTACGCAGCTACTCACCCCAAGTTAGTTCAAAACCCATCTTAGTATTACAAGGCCATGGAGGAGAACTGACATATTTCAGTCGGAAAGATGGGAGGTTGTTCGAATGTGTTTCTAGAAGGCGAGATTCTAATTGCCGCTGCTTGTTAAATGAAAATTTGCTTGCTCCTTATGGCCATCACAAATTCATGAATGAAAATTAGCCTGTTAAATGAAAATTACAAGTTCATGAATGTTGTAAAATAGACCAGACCTCATCCCCTAGATCTTGCTGGAGGGATAAAGGTTGATGATTTACAGTAGTTGTAACTAATAGCTTCATTAGGCCGGGATGTAGATTGAGATTGCCCTAGTGGTTAGAGAGAGACATTATTCTCCCGATCCATGTTTTCACTTTGTAGCTAGCGTTGTTGTACATGAATGTAAAATACTTGATTCAGAATTTATAACATAAACACCAAATTCTATCAGGCCAGGCATACGATTATTCGTTACTCCATTCAGGTTGCAGCTCGTCAGAGCTGTATTTATTTGCACGACCGCAGGAATGCGCGGCAATCAGTGGAGTGATGCTATTAGACAAGCAGTTGGTTGATGGTCAGAGTCAGGCCTCGCCATCCATGTACGGTTCTTATCAGAAGATTGAATTCTTGCAAATTTGTTACGGAGAGAACGGACCACTCACATTTCAGATAACGACCATTCCCATAAGTGGGCAGCTGTGAACAATGTACTATCACCGTGAGCTGTGGCTATCATGTTACTTGAATGCACATCTTCGAAAGGGGATGCTCAAAATATCGTTCGTTCAGGTTACTACCTCCGCATTCTTGCACTGCAGACTACTGTAGACAGTACTACATCGAGGTTGGCTTTGTAAACGCCGAAGGTTCATGGTTATATACCATTATAGGGTCAACACAAGCTTATCTTATCAAACATAACAAGGTGGTGGATGTGTTGCATAGTTGTTGGCGAAAATATACGGTAGAAACTGCATATAAACATAGAAACTATTATAGGATAAAAAAAATGGACGTATGAGATTTGTAAAAGTTGAACGTCTATAATTTGTCCACGTCACTATAAGTAATACTTTTACTACTAAATTTAATGAATTAAAAATTTTGCTACAAGTAAAAATTTATATATATATATATATGTGATTTCTCTATATTTATTTCCGTTGGAGTATACTCCGTTTCCGTTGGTGAATAATGGATATCACTAGAGAATGCAAAAATGCTTTGTATTGTACTCGTAGAAGTTGTCCTGTGCTGCTGTGCACAGGGTGAGCGAGCTGTGACACAACTGCTCAAGGACGTGGATCCTCTGCAGACTGCAGTGGTACTGACACTACGCAGACAACGCCCCCGTCGAGAGCTCAGTCCAGATTACACGTGTACGCGTAACAGCATTTTGGAGGCCTGGAGGGCCAGGAGGCTCGCAGCCGATGTCAGTGACGGCCTGACGCCGTCACGCCTACGACTCGCCTCGGCCTTTCCACTTCTGGCCGCATCTATTAATCCCCGAGCAGCGCCGGAACCTCTCCAAATTAAGACTCGGGTGAGCTCATCAGGCTCAGTTCATCCCTCTCGTGAGATACAGATAGCCTCGCAAATCAGGGATCAGCGTGTGATGGGCAGGCAGCCGTGCTGCGAGAAGGTTGGCCTGAAGAAGGGGCCATGGACGGCCGACGAGGACCAGAAGCTGGTCACCTTCCTCCTCTCCAATGGCCACTGCTGCTGGAGGCTCGTCCCCAAGCTCGCAGGTGCATGAGCATGCATGACCATGTGTTTCCATCTGATGCGCGAAAGGGAAAAGGATTCGCGTTAACATGCAGATCGTCCTGCAACTGCAATGGGAGTGACTGTGCCTTCGGGTTTTTGCTATGTTTCACTCGCAGGGCTGCTCAGGTGTGGGAAGAGCTGCCGGCTGAGGTGGACGAACTACCTGCGGCCCGACCTCAAGAGGGGCCTCCTTTCCGAAGAGGAGGAGAAGCTGGTCATTGACCTCCACGAGCAGCTCGGCAACAGGTGACAATGCCTCCAAAATCAGATGCTGCCGCATGCATGCCGCCACTCGATCCAAAATCTCATGGTGTTTTTGTGCGTCGCGTGCGTGCGTACAGATGGTCCAAGATTGCGGCACGGCTCCCCGGGAGGACGGACAACGAGATCAAGAACCACTGGAACACCCACATCAAGAAGAAGCTCAAGAAGATGGGCCTTGATCCCGTCACTCACCGGCCGGTGATGTCACTCGCTCAGCCTGATCCCCTGAAGCAGCAGCAGCAGCAGCATGAACCGTCCGTCTCCGGCGGCACCGGTGCCGACGACAAGGAGGAGGAGGAGGAGGAGACGCCGACGAGCGCCCAGCCACAGGGCGTCGCTTGCGCTGCTTCATCCGCCTCCGCCGTGTCGTCGTCATGCTCCTCGTCCGCCTCGGCCTCCGCCGCGACACCCGGCGCGGACGTGGACTGGCCCGGCCTCTTCGAGGTGGATGCCATTCTTGACATTGACTGGGCTGGCTTATTGTCTGCCTGCGGCGACGATGGCGGCTGCAGCGCCATTGGCGTCGATATGTTGTTCGACCAATGCTCTGACGTTGGCTTTGATCAAGATGTGTGGATGTGATCCTGATCCTGACAGGAGAGTTTACGTCCGTGAGTAGAATTAGATTGGCCGTGAAGTTGAGATTCATATCTTCTTCTTTCACTCTTCTTTGTTTTCCTATATTGAATTCGTCCATGACAAGCATGCATATTTGTTGACAATGAAGAAGAGAAGAAATGGTTTGGTGTGTTTTGTGATAAAAAATGTAGAAAGTGTTCAAGCAGTTGCAGTTCACTTCATTTCGGGGAATCCATCCCTTATGAGCAAACATCAAAATCTTAGTCCATTTTTTTTCTTTTTTGCTCTTGAGAAAGTTCTTTTAAAAGGAGCTTGGTTGAATACATGGATTTGTTCAAATGATGACACACAGCAGAGAGCCTGGAGCCAAGCTCACCAGATTTATCTCCAGTCTGGATAAAGTAGCACTTTAGTGGAGTAGTATTCAGAACATACCATGATCTAAAATTTCTAAACCGTGCGTGGACCAATCAAGGGATAGAAAGGCTACACTACACAAAAGCATCCTCCTGAAAACGCTTTCTTTATTTGGCGAGGTTTAGACGAGAATAAAACTAAGCAACAACACTCAAAGCTAGCGTGTGATTTGACACTCCGAACGATCAACTGATCAAGGCCCCTTGAGGATACCAGGCACATTATACAGTGCCAGACACACTTGTCAGCCATGAAAGTATGAAAACGAAGCTAGCTTGTATCGCACTACCGCCTACGCACGTACATGCGTGATGCGTCGTCGGCGTGGTGTCGACTGCCACTCGGTGCTCGGCCCGGCGGCCGGTAGGTGCCCGGTCGCCGGCGCCGCGCGGCCCAGGTTGACATTTTTGGGTGGCCGCCGCACATACATACGCATACGCCCCTGCCCGACGTGTGATCGGTCGATGTGCCCCGCAGCCGATCCGCCGGGCGGCGACCCGCGAGAGCTACGTGCGTGCAGTGTCCCATCGACCTGACGTCCCCTGCAGTTTGCACCACGATGTCACTGCATGCCGATGGCGGCAGCTGCGCGCCTGCATGCGCCCCCTCCTCCGCGTGACCTCACCATGGCGTAGCGCTTGCGTCACCTTACCCTTTCGTGGTTCCAAACTTGCAATAGGCCAATCAATCGAAAGGGTACCTGATGATAATGTATTAGTACATTACAACGCATATGAGATTATGAGTAGATAACACGATAATGTATTAATTAGTACATTGTAAACGTATGTTTAAATTTTCTTCTGATCGTAGCTAGGAGTAGTACTGAAAATAAGGCCCTGACGTCTCAAACGCGACCCTTCTGACTTCTGAACAGGCACGTATGTACATAGCTGCATACATCATAGCATGCGGTCCGGACCGCCTCTTGAGGCGCAGCATGCATGCCTGTAAAAGTGTAAAGAGAGTAATAGTAGGACGCATCACTGCATCGCATCGCATCGACTGATCATTCACGTCTCAAGCGCTCGCTGCTACCCGCAAAAAAAAAGAAAAGGAAATCAGTGCAAAGTCCTAGTATGATCACCAATCCGCAGTCGCAGGCACGGTGCCAAATCATGAACAATCGATGCCGACAAATCATGATGCCCTCAAAATTCACCTCATATTCATGCATTGCACGCAGCAGCAGCGAGCGAGCGCGCGAGAGCCAGCAGTACGGGGCCGGCCGGCGATCGACGAGCGGCCGGCAAAGGCCCAGGTGGCTCGCCACGGCTGGCGGGCGGGCGGGCGGCGACACTAACTTTTTCAGAGCGAAGCAAATTAGAGCGCGGCTGCAGGTGGCATGTGTCAAATGCTGCAATGATGCCACAAACCGTAACCCGGATCTATCCTAGATCGATCGATCGTGCCACTGCCCCCACGTAATAAGCTTTTTACTCTACTACCGTTGCTCTCTCTCTCTCTCTCTCTCTCTCTCTCTCTCTCTCTCTCTCTCTCAGGTCGTCTGATGAACAAACAGTCGTGGTCAGTGCGAGGGAATAAAGAAGCTTTGGGGGGGCTTTGAGTGAAGATAGAATACTACTACAGGTTTTTTAGTGGAAGCGTGCGCTGTTGCGGTTGGCTGCCCGCGGCCGGCCATCCCTGCCTGCCCCCAACCAAAGCAGCCGCCGTCTTCCGTGGGGCGGTGGCACGGCCGGCCGCCGCGCCTTAATTCGCCATGCACACGCATGCTAATCCGCACACACACCAAATCCTTACCAATTTGCAGAATTTTCTCTGTACAACACGCACTACAGTCTACAGTACTAGTTACGGGTAAAAGATGAACAGTATAGACTATAGTACTACAGTCTACACTACAGACGAACATGTTTATGTGCTTGTTGTTGTTGAGTAGTTTTCGTCGAGATGAATATAATCCACGTCAGTTGAAGGCCTGATCAGGCCTAGCTAGCTAACCGTGATCAATAAGGAAGCCATATAAGTTACTATTTCCTGGCTATAGCTACTGTTGTCGACGGACGTGACGGGCCAATACATAAGCGACTCTGCAAAAGTGATCGAGTTTGGTACCCGAATTATCAACATCAAAAGCGGGAGAGCCGTCGGTCTGTCGCTCGCGCGCGGCCGCGTGGAGTACGTCTTGCGGCCGCGGTGACGACGACGTTGACACGAGAATATATATGATCGAGATCGACCGCCATCGCGCGATCCACCAATCCACCATAGATCGCCTTGCAAGTTAAGGGCGTCGAGCCGTCGAGGCGTCATCATGTGGTGCGTGCATGGCCCTGCGCCTTCTTTTTTTCTCCTTTTTTTGGAGCGCACACAATTACACCGAGCCTTTTTATCCTTCGTGCGCATCGCGGTCACGCGCGCGCTCGGTGGCACAACGGCGCGCGGCGAGCCGGCGAGTAGGCCCGGGCTCCGGCAGCGACAAGATCACAAAACACTGTAGAAAGGCTGCAGGCTCTCGATCGATATGATCGATCGACGGGAAGAAGAAATGATAGTGGAGGAAAAGGTGGCCATCAACCAACCGATCCAGATATGCATGCAAGGAGAAAGCCATGCCGGAAGATAATTAATACTCGACTTGAAAGTTGAAACGGGAAGGTTTCATAGCGGTTGATCGATGAGTACGCGAGATTTGAGTTCAAAAACCGGGATTTGAAACTTTGCCCCGTACAATAATCTCGTCGCAAGCAGTTAAAACGGCAAACGGATTTGTAAACCGATTCGGCCCAGAAACGCACTCGAGAGAGATCGGGCCGCGTTGCCAAGGCGGCATAGACTGGGCCAGAATCTCGCGGCCCACTCGAGAGAGCTCGGCTAGTTTTGGATTACTCGGAGGAGTCGCGGACGCGATCCGTTTCGCCCGTGACGCGGGGGCGACTCGTGCCGTGCCGTCGTGCCGTTGTCTTGTCTCCCCCTCTGCCCACCTGCGGCTGCGTCGCGTCGCGCAGCTCAGCATCGGCTCGGCCTATCGTCTTCGGCTGCGTTCGTTTGGACGTTTTCCCACCGCGCTACAGTAACACGGAAAACGGAACGGTTCATTAACACATGATTAATTAAGTATTAGTTAAATTTTTTTTCAAAAATGGATTAATTTGATTTTTTTAAGCAACTTTTGTATAGAAACTTTTTGAAAAAAAGTACACCGTGTAGTAGTTTGAAAAGCGTGCGCGGGGCAAAACACTGTAGCGCCCACTGAAAGTGCTGTGCCGAACACAGCCTTCGTCTCGTCGTCCTCCATATCATTCTCAATTCCTTCCTTCTTCGACCCGTCCTCCTCTTCTCTCTCCCTCCTCTTCCCCCCAAATCGCGGATTCCCTCGACGAGAGAGATCCGGGCGCGGCTGGCGGCGACGGTCACCACCACCACCACCCCGACGGCGGCGAACGGCATGGGGCTCTGGGACTCGCTCCTCAACTGGCTCCGAAGGTCTCCCCCCGCCTCGCTCTCTCCCTTCTTCTTTTTTCCGCTTCGTGCATCTCAGTTCAGTCCCTTCTGTGGGGACGAGATCGTCCATGTGTTTCGGGTTGAGCGGGAGGTAGGGTTTGGTAGGGATTGGTTTGGATCGGGCTCCCCTGTGCGGCGGCGGGATGATGGGGCGGGGCTGTGGAGTGGAGTGGTTTGTGTGGCATGTGCGGTTAGATCCAGGATTGGTAAAGCTTGTCAAAATCGGATCGTTGTTAGGTCGGTAGATTTGAATGTGGTTAGTATCTATGAAGCTTGGGATTACATTAGTATAGCCCGTGGAACCAAATCTTCTACTCTCTTTAAGGATGGTTCTTCCAGGAAACTCTGTAATTCTTTTGCATCCTTACCCTGACCTAGCTTCCTTTACACGTGAACAAATGTCTGAGAGAAATTTAGGTTTGTTGAAAGTCTATCTTTTTAACTTTGTATTTTTGCTGTTATCCAGGACTCCCAACAGTTTTACCATGTCCAGTAACATTGAGTAATTTAGGGTGAATTGGGATCTTTTGTTAATATTTTGTTCTAATTTCCTATATAATCTTTTCTGCTGCTCTCGAAGGGGTTTGTTGAACTCTTTTCGGTAAATTAGCTTTCAGCAATCCACCTAAGCCGCTTCACTTTAGCTTCCCATTGAATTTTGCCACATAGATACGTATGCCCCATGTGAACTCGGACACACCTGGCAGCTATGATAAAGGAGGAGACCTAGACATAGATCCTGGCTGGCACGAAGCACTTAGTGGATCTAATGGAGTTAACCTAAGTGAAACATGTTCCCCCTTATTGCATTTGCATCCAAATCTGTGTTATTTTTCTTACCTTTCAACCTTTTCTCCTCCAATTGACCTCACAACTGTTCTCCTGCCTTTCAAATTACAGAGGAAAACTACTAGGTGCTGCCATAATACCAACTTAACTTCCTAGTAAAATATTAGAACATACGCCAATATTAAGTACTATGCAACATGTTTCCTTATAAACATGTCTAGTGAAAGGTTTACTCATGACAATTATGTCCTCCACCAGCTTGTTTTTCAAGCAGGAGATGGAGCTCTCCCTGGTTGGCCTGCAGAATGCTGGGAAAACATCACTAGTTAATGCTGTTGCTGTATGTATCATCTAACGGAATCTTTATTTATCTTACCATTTTAATGTTATGCCTGGTGGTTTTAATTCGTTGCTGGCATGCTTCTCAGACAGGTGGCTACAGCGAAGACATGATTCCAACTGTATGTACATATCACTGCTTCTTAAGTCTTAATTTGTAGAGGTAGTATTGCTATCTAATTGACCTGACTTATACTTGTCCATATTCTGAAACCAGGTAGGATTTAATATGCGAAAAGTCACAAAGGGGAATGTTACGATTAAACTTTGGGATCTTGGAGGGCAACGGAGATTCCGGACCATGTGGGAGCGCTATTGCCGTGGAGTTTCTGCAATCCTGTAATTTCCTGCACACTTAAGCTATCTGTTATGCACTGTATTTAATTCTCAGGATGATTAAATTGGGGGAAGACACAATACATAACCTTTATGACAACAGTGGTAGTAAATGGTATGCATGTAGCTCGGAGCCTAGGATATACCTGTGTATGTATAATACTGGCTCAATGGCTTTATATTTGCGATTTTGGTACCACACATCTCTTCATCTCACCCAAAATCGGGAAAAAAAAATGAAGAAAGGTTCTATATTGGTGGTATTGAAGTGGTAAAAAAATAAATTGAGTTTTACCAAAAAAAAAAAAAGAAATTGAATGGAGTTCTATTTTGGTGGTATTAGAGTGTACCTTAAGATTTTTGTTGGTATAAAATTGAACGTGTGATCTTTGATGGCATGGAATTAGTTTCTCCTTATATTTCATACTTCTTGGTACCTACCAAGAACAACAAAATGACTGTTCGGAATAGGTAGACGTTTCAAACACAATAACCTTGTTACTATTTATTTCTGTGTTTGGTGAGTTATATGTATTGATGCATGGCCAATTGACTATACTAGCTGCATGATGCTTGTTTCTTGCTTCTGTGTTCTATCCAGCCTAACTACCTAATGGTGGAATTGTTAAGAATAATTAACTGACATTCAATTGCAGATATGTGGTGGATGCTGCTGACCGGGATAGCATTCCGATAGCTAAAAGTGAATTGCATGACCTGCTGACAAAACAATCTTTAGCTGGGATTCCTTTACTAGTCCTTGGCAACAAAATTGACAAGTCAGAAGCTGTTTCAAAGCAAGCGTTGGTTGATCAACTGTGAGTTTACTACCTTTTCTGTGTGAGCTTGTCATCCTTGAGTGGCTAATTACTGAATGATGTTTCAACTGAAGTGGTCTTTCTCATGTATTTCAGAGGCCTGGAATTGATAAAGGACCGGGAAGTTTGCTGCTACATGATCTCTTGCAAGGACTCTGTAAACATAGATGTTGTCATTGATTGGCTTATCAAGCACTCCAGAACAGCAAAGTAGGGTTGTGTATGTCTATCACTTGATGCGTGCTGATATGAATTCAGTTTGTTTATCTCCAGTTTTATGGTCCAAAAGTTAAAAAGTGACTACCTTGTAATCTATGGTTTCTCGTTGGTGTCACTGTCCTACAGTATGGTGTCAAATACTTGAGCATCAAATCCTGTATTTCATGTAAATTCCTTGAATATTTTATTATTCTTTATTATGGACGTGCTGTATCGTTGTTTTTAATCATTTCTAATCGCTATATATGGCCAGGTGCTTAGAAGAGTAAAAATACATCTCCCGAGCGAAGTGCTGTTTTTAAACTGGCAATTCCAACAAAAGGAAATGCATAATGAAATCCTTTTGAAGTAACCTGAAGCATCGGACCATCAGTTTTATAGCAGGTAACATCGTATTTTCTACAGCGCAGTCAAATCCAATACCTAATAGAACCAAGAAGGATTGTTTTTTTCAATATTTTTCAATAAAATGCCGTGTTTACATATGCTCATTGGGGCGGTAGGGCAAACTAAAAAAGAAAGTTACATAGCCATATGGAGTCTCAAATAAAGTGGTTACTTTTAGCGGTGAAAACGGATCGGATAATATCCGATCCGCTCCGAATCCGTCCGAAACGAGGATATGGTATGGGCTTTTAGAAATCCGGTGGATACGGATGTGGATGCGGATAGTATGAGGTGGATGCGGATGCGGATATGGTATCTCTTAAATCCGGCGGATGCGGATTATCTGACATTTTTGTCGGATTATCCGATAAGCCGTTTGCTAGATAATCCGAAATTATCAACATATATAACCACTCTATCTATTGCATATAACATAAATTGGTACATCCAATACCCTAATTCATTAATTAACAAAGATTTTTTTAGTATCTAAGGCTTTTATCGTCTCATGTCACACTCACGTAGCTATATTTTTTATATTATGGACAACATGTATTCATGTTGTTTAGCACTTAATCATATACTCCCTCCGTCCCATAAAAATTGAATTTCTAGGGAATTAAGGACATATTAGGAGGATAGACAAATGACTACAATAACCCTATTTAATGAACACAGTACATGCACACATTTCATATATAAACTTGATTAAAAGGAATGCCAAGACAATGAGTTAGAGATGGGATGGAAGGAAAGAAGATTACAAGGAAATGTAATCAGTTTACTGGGTCCCACATTAATAGAAATACAATTTTTATGGGACAAATGATCAAAGATAGAAATTCAATTTTTATGGGACGGAGGTATTACGATGGATCATTTATTGATTATTGTATTATTATTCCTTGGTTGCTAATTTGATGTTGTGTTGATTGCATATACACATAACATCCGATAAATTTAATCCGTTTCCGAACCGATTCCGCACCATTTCCGACATCCGAAACAATCCGCTTCGCATTTGCATCCGCATATGTACACTATCCGCACCCGTTCCGAATCCGCTCAAAAAATATGGTTTAGGATATGGTATGACCACTATCCGTCCGAATCCGCTCCGTTTTCACCCCTAGTTACTTTTGTAAACATGAGTCCAGACAAAAAAGATGATCACAGGAGCCAATGGTCTTCGATTACACTCCGATATTCGGTATGATGATCTCCAGCTATCGAAGGCCTTGACATCTTCCATCATGAATCTTCCAATCGTCGAATGGGCTACTGTCTCGAGTGTCCTCCTTTGTTCACAGAAGGGCTACAACCATCAAATATTTTGGCGTCCTCTACCCTAAGCTCTTGAATAAGCTCGTTGTTATCAGATAGTCGAACGGTGTAACACATGGTATCATAGTCCATCGTAGAATTGTAGAAATGCTTGCATAGTAGCATATTACGTTCCCTTTTTGGAAGGAAAAATAAAAGACAGACCCGTTGATGAAAAAAAAAGATGGCATCATGGAAAATATTATCATTAAGCAGATATTGCACAGCCAGTCAGCCAGGATGAACATAGGTTCGAATCCCTACTCTCCTAAGTAAAAACAAATGTTCTTCTAGCCTATGTACTCTTTTTTGGTCACTTACCAACAAAACCACCAGGTTTTAAATCATAATGCAACTGTTGGAAAGAAGCTGTTTTCTTTGGCGAGAAATGTAAAAAGGTTTCATGAGTAAATATCATCATTGAACCTCAAAACTTGGTTAAATTACAATGATGGGATCGAATTCCATTAAAAAAAAAAATACAGCGATCGGCCCAATCCTTGCAACCATATGAAGGTTCCGTTTTAGGAGCTGGAGATCCTAAGAAACAACTGATGATAATTTAGAAAAGTTATGCTGCTACTGTTTCATTTTATAGATTGTAGCTACCGAGTCTTCAAATCCAAGTGAGAGTCTAAATTGTTTGGTAGCTGAAATTATAGAAGTAGCTGTAGCTTCGAGAAGCTCTCTCCCAACAAGGTGTTAGGAAACGATAGGCAAACAAACGATAAAAAATAATAGATCAATCACAGAAGACATAGGATTGCTTTGGTTTGTGGCCTAAATAGGCCTTACCAAATTTTGTCAATGCCAAATTTTGGTAAGTTTTGGCACGACTAATTTTGGTAAGGCAAAGTTATATTTGGATTGAAGCCAAAATAGCCTAAGTTCACTATTGAAATGACCTATTTTCTTAGGCATGCTAAAATTTGGCTTCAAACCAAATAGGTACTAAACACTATTAAAATTGTCAAATATTGTTAAGCCTAATTTAGGCCTCAAACCAAACCAGCCCATAATATTTAATGTGGAAAACCCTCCCAAAGCAGGAGAGAAAAGACAACGGGCGCCAGCCAACAAAATATATTCACTATTTCGGGGGTGAGGTTACAACACCGCACGGCGATTTACAAGAGGTATATATATATGGTGGAACCTAAAAGGGATGACGATTTATACCGCGGGGGCTCCTCCGCTTAGCTCCGGCCTAAGCCTCCCGGCGACGGGCCTCCGCTTCACTACGGTAGAAGCTGGCTTTTATTAAGTGCAAATGAATTTGGATCACAACTCAACATAAGGTGCCCACTTCCCAACTCTTCATTTCTTACATCCGCAGGAAATATTTCATAGTGGCCCTCAATATTGTATCCCTGCACCAAAATGATTGTTTACACAGGAAAGTTAAACAAAATAGTATTTTATTTCAGCTATCCTCAGTTACAAAAAGGACCGTGCAATCTGATCAATGTAATCAGAGGCAACAATCCGAACGAATCCGAAAACCTTTTCTCCCGTCAATGAGAAGAAGAAAAGGGTGACGATGCCTCGGTTTCATATGAAACTGCGAGTGAACATCACTACTGCACTTAAAAAACCTCATCAGAAATTCAGAATTAAAATAAGAAAAAAAAAGGCTCTTGCTACCAAATGCACCACTAGGTTTCTACTTAGTTCATCACTCCACCTACTGAGTCCAAAACTTGTGCTTGATTAGCAAGAGGTTCCCGTGCCGCAAACTGAATCCAAAACTTCGCGGCTAGATCTTCAACTCGGTATCTAGTGCCTCCTCGTCATGATTTCCGTTAATATTCTTCAGGTTCGTGAAAGCACTATGCCGTTCCGTGTTGCCGAGTGGGGTTTTATTTCGTGGGAAAGCCGTAGGAAAAATGTCCTTTTCATCAGGAGATTTCTCACGGCGAGTGTAAGCTGCACTCGCCAACCTGAAGTCAGAAACAAATGAAAGAACCAAAATTTATGATAAATAAATAAATATGAACAGTTAAACAGATTGAAATGGCATAAATTGGTGCAAGTTTTTTGCCTACCTCTGCTTGCGGCTCTCCAGGAAGCTAACAAGAGACGCATTCTTCACCAGCAATGAGACATCTGCTGCAGGAGAACATCAGTACATCACGACATAAATTACATCATTTTCGAGACGGTTATCAACACAATCAGGATGGAAAATAACCTCTTGGCACGATCTGGATTTGCCGCGAGCATGGATTCGTCTCCTTGATGGTGGCGTACCCGTCCTCTGGGCTCCGATGCTGTCGCTGTGAACAAGCATCGGCTTTGTTCTCGTGGATGAACAAACCATCAGCATCTCTCTCAGGAGCCTGATAACAGAATATCCTCTTCTTTTTGTTTGGATATGCAGGCTGCTGCTGCTGGGGAACATGCTGGTGTCCTGCGTCTGGAGACTTCTTTGCAGCGAAGAATATAACCTCCTCAGCCTGCACGCATAGCGAATCTCCACGTCCCCAGTGTTGTATGGCCAAGTCATAATCAAAGCTTGACTGGGAGATCAAGAAGAGAGAGGAGGGATTAAAGCAAGGCACACCTTCTCCCTTGGGACGTTGTCGAACTTCACCATAGACCCGGAGTAGAAAATCGTCAGCTGTTCAGTCGTTCCAGGCACGGCCATGGTCCTGCTTCAGATCATCAGATGCATCCCATCCGTCAAAAGCTAGCAGAGTAGCAGACGAAATTCGTTCTTGTTTTTGTTTCAGAGAGAAAACATAAGAATCATTCTTGGCCAACCAAGAAGTGGCCATGTAACGGATACCTTGGACTAGTAGCCAGAGAAGTGACATCGTGAGCTCCTCCGGGAACTTGTAACGTCAGGCTTGCGACGGCGGCCGGCGGCGGCATGCGTCCGTCCACGACAACGCTGGCGCTTTGGTGCGGTAGCGCACGCGCGGCGGCGTGCACCTGGGGGGGCCGGGTGGCAAGCTTACCCAACGTGAGAGAGAGCCCTTTCAAACTCCCCCTGCTTTACTACATTAGGCAAACCCTTTTTTTGCCTAGTTTTTTTTTCCACAAAGAGAAACGTGAGAGATCCCTGAAACACCCCAGAAGAGCTTGAGAGGCTCCTCTGGACACGAACCTGGCTCTTCTGATGATCCCGTGCGGCGGCCGGCGGCGAGAGGACTTCCATCAAGTCCATGTTAGTGTCACGGGCCGACGGCATCGCTTGGTTTCCTCTTCTCTCGCGGCGCGGGTGCGTGCCGTGTGCTCCGGGGCGCATCGATCGTTCGAACGAAACGCGCGCGCGCGCGGGGGGTGTGCTTGCGCTCGCCGCTGCCGCGCGCGCCTAATTATATAAGTGAAGAGACGCCCCCACCCCGCGCGCCGCGAGCCTCGCGCACCGACGGGGACGGGAAACCACACGAGGCGGGGAAGGCAGAGGAACACCGATCGTGACGCGCCTGCGCACGGTAAGGCCGGTGAATTTTCTGCGGCCCGGGCGTGAACGCAGCGCAGCTGTCGCGCGAGCCCCAAAATTGGGGGATCGAAGCGGAGACGGTGTCTAGCACGAGTGCACGACATCATCAGCTGATCAGGTGGAGCATGCGCTGCGCGACGAACACCGTGGCGCCGCTCGAACGAATCGACACGCGTGGGTTTCTCGGTGAGGCCTATTGCGCGAGATGGAAAAGGAACGTGGCTTTAGTGAGCCTGGAGTAGGGGCGAGGCCCATCAACTGTTTGGGTTACTTTTGGGCTTGTCCTGAAGAATTTAAGCCGAGTGTCCCTTTTAGGCCCGGTTTGTTCTACTACTGCATATAAACAGATATACTATTATTAGTACCTTTCTTATTGGGACAATCTCGTTTCTGCCCCCACTTTAATGTCTAATATTGATTTTACCCCTACTTTTTAGGGTTTTCGTTTTTACCCTCACTTTTTAAACTGAAAGCTTGTTTTGCTCCTACTTTGGATGGTGAAGTTAACGGTGTTAATTAGTTGACAAAATAACATTTATACCCTCTCATGTATGTTCATTAATTGTGTTTTTGTCCCCATTTTATGCATGTAGCTTTAGAACTTTATTTTTGTGAGTATATTTAAAATTAAATGAAGCACATTGACTAATATCTAAAGGAACAGATAATTACATTTTACAAAATGTTGTAAAAAATTTGTTTAAGTTCAATCAAAATGTTGAAATTTTGTTAAAATTCCATCAAATTCGTCTAAATTGTTATATTAGTCAATGTGCGTCATCTAATTTTAAATATACTCCCAAAAATAAAGTTCTAAAGCTACATGTATAAAATGGGGACAAAACATAATTAATGTACATACATGAGAGGGTATAAATGTCATTTTATCAATTACTTAACACCGTTAACTTCACCATCCAAAGTAGGGGCAAAACAAACATTCAGTTCAAAAAAGTGAGGGTAAAAACGAAAACCCTAAAAATTAGGGGTAAAATCAATATTAGACATCAAAATAGGGGTAGAAACGAAATTGCCCCCTTTCTTATTGGGACTTAAGAAAGCAGAAGACTAGAAGGCAACCAATTCAGAGTGTTACGAACAATACTAGAAGGCAGACAAATTTGAATTTTAAAAGTTGGTTTTAGAATTGATTTGGGGATATTTGTGTGGTTTTATATTTCTCACCCTTGCCTTTTTCTACCTTAAAGCTATTTTTCGTTGCTTAGCTAAAATAAAAGAAGAGACCTACCAATCTACAATGCTTGAGGTCGGAAAAAAGAATATATCCCAGTAGTACACGCATGTTCTTCTGGCGACTTTCGCACACTGTTATATTATTAATTTGAAGGTTGCTGATGATTAATTTGTAGAAATGCCAATATCCTTATCCGAATCTAGATTAGTTGAGATTTAAAAAAAGGTCATAATTCAAGGATGTATGATTTTGTAAATGTACTTGCATGTGCTGAGGAATGCAGTCGCGATAATCGTCGGCAGTTCAACTCACTGATCAATTATGCACTAATAATCCCCCCTTCTATAATCACAAGTAAATGATTGAATCGAATGAGATGATGCGGTGAATTGGAAATTGCAGATCTGCATCTCTAATTCATGCACAAATTAGTACTCTATAATCTATATACGTAGATGTTCATGTGCGCCTCCTCTAGCTGAAGCTGCCTAGCAGCAACAGGAGTTGACCAGACCACTGCTTGGATTGCACAAAGCACAACATGGTGGTGGGCTAATAATAATAAGCCACCAAACTGAAGCTAATTAAAAAAACACACATAGAGTAGAGAAGCCAAAAACACGCTAATTAGATGTCAAACCAAGATGAATTGGAAGCCCATCGGCGGCTTCTCATCTTCAAACTATAGTTTTTGGTTACTCAGAAGAGCATAGCTCAGACAGAACACAGAAGATAGGTTTATAATTTCATATCTTCTGGTCTGCTTGACAGTCACCAAACATGCTTTGTGACAGTACAATGTTAACCCATTTCAGTTTCAGAAATACAAATCACGCTATCAGCTCATCCGGCAGCGCCACGAACCTTGCTTTTTTCTGAAATATCAAAATGGATACCAAATAAGTGATCAGAAAATGTGAACAACGAAAATAAATACAGATCTCCTAAAAAAGAGAACATCTTGATCTGTGGATAATAAAGCATGTACTATCAACAAAAGGTAGAGTAGAAAATTGTGTTTGATGACCAGTGGAAAAATAATGTTATTGTAAATCAGTCAGCACTATCTCACTATTCCTACAAGCATTATTGACAGCATTGTTTTTCTAATGAATACTATAGGTTTAGCAACTTCATCACACATGCAAAACCAAATAATTTGTGCTCGTGTGAATCGCTAAGGTTATTTAGGATCTTTAACGAGGAAAATTCCACATGCTGCCAACTAAGTTCCAGATATCTCAGAGCACAAACTTGCAAGAAAACTCCACTTCTATGATCACCCTAATTTCTCTCAAGTTCGGTCAGAAAAATATTTCTCTCAAATGTGAAAGACGAGAAGGCGAGGAAACATTCCACCGATCTGTGTGTCTAGCGCACTTGTGCTGGTTGTTTCCCGCAATGAGCGGAGAACCTCGGTTTGGCTCCCCACTTTTTCTGCAGAATCAAACTGTTAGTGCTCCACTGAAACAAGCTTCTGGTTCTCTGCAACGACAAGAAAACTGCCTCTCGGCTTGTTTCCTCCTGCTGCTAATGACGCGGCATCTAACATGCTGCCATGTAACCTTGTCGATTGGTATGCTAGTGGCCATTTGTAGCTTTGTGCTATAGAAAATGCGTGAGCAAAGTGAAGCCAAAGTCAAGAATTGTACAATTATTTTTTGTTTTGCAGTTTGAATTCCGCATTGCTTGTACAAGCTAACTTGCTAACGTGGTTTAGCAAGAAATTTGTCACCTTGTTCGGTTATTTGTGATTTTTAAAATGCGTAGACTGTAGTGTAGAGCATTGCACCTAACAAGTTGGTGATGGAATCACAAATCCTATTGGTTTCGCAAAATGTGGAAATCTCAGTGTGCACATGGGAAGAAACAGTAATTGATGAGTAGATGTAAATTATGTAGTGCAAATGGAGAGAAGGACGCAGTAATTCGTCACCTCCTTGGTGCGAGGCAGCGTCGGCCACCTCTGCGGCGTCTTGGCCGCTCCGGGCGCCGGCGGTGGCACCATGAACCCGGCTCCCCACTCCGGCGTCGCCGCGAACCGCGGGCTCCGCAAGATCCCGGGCGGCCTCTCCGGGGTCACGCTGGCGCTCTTGGCGCCCGCGGCGGCGCAGAGCTCCATGATCTTGGCGGCCGCCTCGGACGCGTCCTTGCTCTCCCCCATCAGCTTCTCCACCTGCGCCCTCGGGAGCCGCATCTTGAGTCGCACGGGGGTGGCGGCGCCGGAGCAGGCGCTGCCGGGGAGCGGGGAGGTCGGGGCGGAGGCGGATGCCTGGGCGGCGGGGAAGGAGGAGAGGTCGGAGGTGGAGCGGCGGGCGAGCATGAGCGACTCGAGGCGCTCCCGGGCGCCGACGCGGAGGTTCCCCGACCAGGCGCGTCGCGGCGGCCCCGCGGCGGGGCGTCGCGGGAGCGCGACGAGGAAGTAGAGCCTCCCGCGTCGGAGCGGCGCGTCGGGCGCGAGCGGCCGCGCCCGCGCGCCGAGGAGCTTCACCTCCTCCGACTCCAGCAGCTGGAACCCCGGGTGGTCGCGCAGCACGTCCGCCGCCACCGCCGGCGGCTTCACCCGGAACGACGTCCCGTCCAGCTGCATCACCTTGGCTCCCTTCCTCTTGCCCCCAATGCTGTTCCCCATTGCTCCCGTCTCTCCTCCCCCTCCTCCTCCTCCTCCCTTCTTGTGGTCTCTCGGTGGTGGTGCGGATGCGGATGCGGCTGCGTGTTCGTGAGAGCTTTGTCGTGAGCTGCTGCTGCTGCGAGCTTAGCTGCGGTGTCATGTGCAAGGGGGAGGAGAGGGAAATTTTAAAGCGGAGGAGTCAAAGGAGTAGTATAGTATTGGGCTCGAGGACGAGGAGATGCCGAGGTGGTGGTGGCTTCTCTCTCGTGTGTCTGCGCTTTTGCCCGCGTGATTACGGGTAAAAAGTCACCGATTAGCACAAGAAACCTCGGAAAAAACACACAAATACTATTACTCGGTGCAAATTGCAGTTTTTACCGGAGACAAATTTCTCCCATTTCAACGCTCACAATGCCACGATGGTATGGGAGGCTCGGTGACAAAGTGAAGTGCTAAGTAGTAGTAGAAGTGAGCATGTGAAACAGGGAGGAAGGAGGAATCTATAGCAGGGGAATATTGGCTCTGGTCAGGCAGAATGGCCAAGCAATGTGGTTACAAGATTGTAACTTTTTCCAGGGATTTTCAGAAGATCGTGCTGGGGGGCCACTGCCTGAGTATGAACTGTAAAGAGGGCCTCAGGTCACGTAACATGTTTTTGCTTTAGATCGTTGCGTTAATGTTAGCGTTCAGCTGCCCTTCTAGTTGGTAGATCTCAGGTTGTTGGTCTTCAGGATAAAGGCTATCAGGGAATTCAAGACGACTTGTTTCGCTGCGAAGAAGATACATACACATTGTTTGGTTAACACGTTTTTTAAACCTTCTATTTCTATATATAATAAGTTGCTTTAAAATATTCATTTCTCAAGTTCATAATAATTAAAATTTAATTAATTATATGCTATTTGTTTCTCTTTCTTCAGTAAAAACAAACACCACCTATAACTCAGCCAGTCATTGGTTTCATGTGTCAGCGTCACCTTACAAAATTTGTAAAATGCTTCTTTCAAGTAGCCGTTTAGTTTCGATATCGTTAAGATTATGGCTGTGCATTTTCGTTAGTACTCCCGTTGTAGTAGTATTGAGAGGAATAGTTTCATGTGTCACCTGACAAGATATGATAGTGGCCAATTGGTACATATGATGATGATTGATGAACCTTTCTTTCTCATCAATAAAGAAGAACGGTACGGTGATCTTGGATAAGACCAGCTTAGCAGGTCAATTATCTACCTTCTTTGGTGCTCCTAAAAAGCCTTCTTGTGTCGGTACCGAAGCAATCCTGAGATTTTCCACTATCAAATTGCTTCTCTATTTGTCCACTGTCTTTTGTTTCGAAGTTGGAACGTACTTTTGTTCCACTAGTGATTCAGATTTTTCTTGGAATCTTTTTAACATAATGTGTTTAATTCATCATCGACTTCTCTTCCGGATACATCAAATGCATTAAAAATTTCAAATACTCCCTCCGTCCCAAAATATAAAAACTTAGGATCGGATGGGATATTTCCTAGTTGTCTATCGTAAATGTCACATCCGATTCTAGATTCTTATATTTTAGGATGGGGGAGTGGCTATATATTTTTTTTCATCACTTTCTTTGCGTGGTATATCAGGGGCCGTATTTGCTGTCAAAATATGTCCTCATGTAATCATGTAAACTGTGAGAACTGACATACTCACTCCGTAAAAAAAAACCAATCTGTAAAAAAAAACCAATCTAGATGGGGATGAGACATCACCTAAGACAACGAATCTGGACATCTAGATTTGTTGTCTTAGAGGTAGTGTTCCATCCCTACTTAGGTTGGCTTTTTTTTTGGCGGAGGGAGCAGTCTCTTCGTTTTAAAATATAATAATTACGAGAAGTATTTCCTGCCGTGTGACAACATCGATGAAAATTAAATGTCACTCAGAAAACGGCATCGGTCCATTTCATCATGATTCATTCTTGAATTAGTGACTAAAGATACTATTAACAAGTAATGATGCTTTCCCCCAAAGATTTGACGATCCTGAAATCAAAAAATAAGTAAGCTTAAAGCCATCATTACCGTGTGGCTATTCATAGTTTTAGACCAGATCACCTGGTTAATCATGTCGAGATGAGTATATTGGAGCTCTGAAGGACTGAAGGTTACAAAGATGAAAGCACCATATAGCTCTCCAAATCTCCAAAAAGAGCACCCCAGCCATGGAATGGTGAAAGTATTTAGTAAATGTCAAGCTGATATCTTGAAGACAAAGAAGTCATTATTAGATGCTTTGATGGTGACCGTAATAATTTTGCATTTTTGATCTTCAAAGAAACTTCATGCCCATGAGCAACAATACACAAGTCTGTAACACCAACCCTTTTTTATGTAGCAATCAATGAACGCACACTTGAGGTTGAGGGTAAGCCGGTAACTGAAATAACCCATTACCGGCCCACCAAATTCACACTCTATAAGAGATGAGGTTACAGCTTTTCGTATGTATACGTACATGTAGAACACGCACACACGCAAAATGGTATGCGATGGACAGTGGAATTAGAGCACCTGCAACTTACTGAGATGCTCCAGGAGAGAGGTTGCCTTGCGCTTGGCTCTGTCTGTGCCGGTCTTGGACAGCTCAGTTAGTGGTATTTGAGCACCCAACCTCCCTATACAAGCGAGGTTCTCAGCATCCTTCTTGCAAAGGGCAAGCAAGATGGCTGCAGCATTCTCCTTGTTACGGGCCTGACTTGACCTCAACAAGTCTATCAAAAAGGGTATAGCATGAGCCTTCGCTATGGCAATTTTACACTCATGGTGGCTCACAAGAACTGACAAGATTGTTAGTGCTTCGTCAATAGCTCCATTTCTGGATGAATCCTGCAGCATCTGAATCAGTGGTGCGAGGATTCCTGCTCGAACTGCACGGACCTTGTTTGCTTGGTATATGCATAAGTTGAACAGTGCTGTTGCTGCATCTTTTCTACCCCTTGGACTGCCACTCTGCAGCAACTCAACTAATGCTTCAATTGCCCCTGGAGTGCTTCCAATAGTTATCTTGTTATCATCAATAAGTGACAAGCTGAAAATAGCTGCAGCTGCATTTTCTCTTGCCTCCATGCCCCCCTTCCTCAACACCTGTATGATTGGGACAATGGCACCCGCAACTACTATCAGTTCCTTGTTCTGATCATATATGGAGAGATTCAGAAGAGCTGTAACTGCATGTTCTTGGGTTTTCAGGTCTTTGGAGGACAAAAGTTTCACTAGAGCGGATATTGCACCAGATTCCGCTAGAAGTATACGATTGTCAGTGCTTTTCTTGGCCAAAGATCTTATTTCGGCAGCAGCCGATTTCCGTTCATCTAATGAGCTACTAGAGAGATTACGAACTAATGTTTCAATAGCTACTCTCTCCCCACCAACCTCAAGATATGCACCATCGTTCTTAGATCTGGTAGGTGGTTCGATCCCTTTTTCCTCACACCACTGCAATATCAAACTTCGCAGAACATAATTTGGGGTCAGAGTAATGTTTTGTAGCTTCAGTTGAGTTTTAGGACAGGTCCGGTTTCCACAGTCTATCCACCTTTGGATGAAGGCACGCTCGTAGGTCTGCAAAATTTGTGACTACATTGTCAGTGGATGACAGAATATACCTTGACTGTATAACGTAGGTTATATTGTGCAGGAAAATTAAAAACAATGATGGTTTGAAACATTACCTGTCCTGTGGAAACAATGACAGGATCTCTCATCAGCTCAAGAGATATTGGGCATCGAAAATCTTCAGGAATAGCCACGGCGTCAGACTTCTTATGTGTCTCAGGAGATGCTTTTGTTTCATCACTTGATTGGCTAACACTGACAGGTTTTTTAGAATCTGTAACTCTCATGTTTTCAAGTCCTTCAATTAGCTGAGAAGTTATTCTCTCTGCGTCAGACTTGGGCACCCCACTTATTTCTGAAACTAGCATAATGATATTTTGCAACTCCAGATGACCGTTGCATAAGTTTTCCATCTGTGGTGTGTCTGGCTGGCCATGTGATTGCTCAGACTGCGATCCAACAGTACTAACATGAAGAGCTAAGATATCATGGAATTTTGAAAAAATGTTTACATCAATGTCTCCTTTCTTCTCCATTTCTCTTCGAAGCTGAGCTCGCACTAAATCAACCTACAGATCCATAAAGGTTAAGTAAAATGAACTAACTGGGGAACCATATTTTAGAGAATCTGATTAGCTATACCTCTTCTTGAACTTCATCTGATATTTGAAAACAGCTCTGTGGAAGTCTTGCTAGAACTGTTTGCAACTGCCAAGTCACAAACTTGAACTGAACAGCAACATTGTTGCAGACGGCATCCTTAACAAAGGGAACAATGAAGAAAGCATAAGAATTAACTATCGTACAAATGCGGGTTAAAAAGCAAATGGAACAAGACATGACACAAGTCAAATGTCAACCCATACAGAATTCAAGCAAATGCATTTGATGGTCAAGTTTACTGAGGAGCACAATCATGAAAGATGCAACACGAAAAGCAAAAGGTGAAGATGTGAACAGATTCAACTGGCCTACATATATCAAAAGAAATAAGCCACCACAAACCACATCCAAATTGCCAGGATGCAGGAATAGAAGTTATGGGGAAAATTTGGTCTGGTGACATCGAAATATAATGAACTAAATTTTATACCACTCAACAACTGAAAAAACATGGGTACACTTCAATACCAGTATACCGCACAATGATTACATTTTTCCAGTTATATACCATTTCGGTCATCTCCGATACCAGCCCAATCAACCGTTACCAATGATAATGTGCCCTTGTTCCTATCACACACCTCCTCAAAATATTCATCATTTCTACTCAAGTATTTGAAATGCAGGAGGGCCATCACTGCCCCCTAGCATCTCGTGTGTCCCAACTATCAATTGCTGTTTGCTGAGCTGCTCCTTTTATCCGTTTCTCACCTCACGCATCCACATCTGCTCATACCAGCATTTGCTTGTGGTATGGCCAGTACATTTTCACTCACCTCTATTTTCACTCTACAGTATAATTAAGTTCTAAGAAATAAGAAAGATAAAGAAACAGAAGTTGCTTTTGCGTCATTTAGAGATGATTAGTGTGGCCCATGTAACAGCAACTAAGCCATTATCTTAGAGTGGAGGACAATTCGACAGGTAACAAAAGCTAAAACATAACTAATATTTGCCATCCCCTAAGGAAAGAATCTTGTCTAGAATGCTTAGAAGACTAGGTTTGAGCCTGAGCCCTGAAGTAAGATTAACCCAGAGAACCTCCTGACTTTTTAACAAGAAAAAAGAATGTAGGGACAAATGAGTAATTACATCTTGGTATTGAACGAACTCTAAAACCCAACGAAAAGCTCGAGCACGCTGTACGTAATAAACCTAAAACCAACTATAAGAGAGGGGGTTTCCAGTAGTAAAATTGTCTCGGTTATCTCTTACACAGCACAACCAAACAGACAGATTTGCCAATGTTGTTTTAAGTATCATAAGTATGATACCGATGGCAATCACAAACAACTTGATGCATTGCAGCATCAGCTTGTTATGTAGTATATATCGATATCAAAATGATGTATTCAGCATTATTTAAGCAACGCAATATATTTCAACGAGTGGACTTATAATGAGCACTCAAATGACAAAGGCGATGATCAATCAAAACCAAAATATTTCAAATGGGCATCTGATCACGAAAGATGCCAGTGGCATTTCAGCCTGTCAATGCAACAAGCAGGCATGGTAGGAAACAAGGCGGAATGCTAAGATGTTTGGTACCTTTGCTATTCTTGTTGCAAGCAAGTTGTGATTCTTTAGAACAAGTTTGATTTGTAAATACGTCGATATGGGCAAACCTAATTAGCTCTGCCCTCTGCATCTAGGGCACAAAATATACTAGAATGGAGGGGAGTAACAGTGTA